CTAGTTTGATGCCTTCGTGGTCAGAAAAGATGGTTGGTATGATTTCAGTCTTGGTGTATCTGTTGATGTTTGTCTTGTGCCCCAGTATGTGATCGATCCTGGAGAATGATCCGTGTGCGCTTGAGAAAAATGTGTACTCCGTTTTTTTTGGGTTTAGTGTTCTATAGATGTCTGTTAAGCCCAAATGCTCTAGGTCCTTATTTAGAGCTTTAGTTTCTTTACTTATTTTTTGTCTTGTTGATCTATCCATTGTTGATAGTGGTGTGTTGAAGTCTCCCACTACATATGTGTTTTCTCTGATGTCTGTTTTCAGAGAGGACAACAGTTGTCTGATATATTTTGGTGCTCTTTCGTTTGGTGAGTATATGTTAATGAGTGTTATTTCTTCTTGAAGTATTGTCCCCTTAATCATAATGTAGTGACCATTGGGGTCTCTTTTTATTTTTTTGAGTTTGAAGTCTGTTTTATCTGATATAAGTATAGCTGTTCCTGCTTTCTTTTTTGGCCCATTTGCTTGTAGGATTGTTTTCCATCCTTTGACTTTGAGCCTATTTTTATCTTTTGTAGCTAAATGTGTTTCCTGGAGACAGCAAAAGGTTGGGTTTTGTTTCTTAATCCAGGCTGCAACTCTGTGTCTTTTTTATTGAAGAGTTTAGTCCATTTACATTTAGAGTTAATATTGATATGTTAGCATCTGTATTTGCCATTATGTTTGTCTTTCCTTTGATTTTATTTATTTATTCTTTTAATAACTTTTTTTTTTTGGTCTTCTTTCGTTGTTATTCGTCCCTCTGAGGTTCTGGCTTTAGGATTCCTTGTAGTATTTTTTGGAGTGGGGGTTTAGTCGCAATGAAATTCCGGAGTTTCTCTTTGTCTGGGAAGGTCCATATTCTTTCTTCATGGAGGAAAGAGAGCTTTGCGGGATAGAGTATTCTTGGTTGGCATCTGTTTTCTTGGAGTCTGTTGACTATGTCCCTCCACTCTCTCCTTGCCCATAGTGTTTCTTCAGAGAAGTCTGATGTCAGCCTGATTGGTTTTCCTTTGAATGTTATCTGTTTCTTCCCTCTTGTCAGCTTCATTATTTTTTCCTTGTCCTGGATTCTTGGGAGCTTTACTATTATGTGTCTTGCTGTGTTTTTCCTTTCGTCGTGGAAGTTTGGTGTTCTTCTTGCTTCTTGTATATCAATTTTCAGCTCCTTCTTCTCATTTGGGAAGTTCTCTTCAATTATATCCATGAATATTTTCTCTGTTCCTACATCTCTCTCCTCTCCTTCTGGAATTCCTATAACTCTTATATTTCCTTTCCTCATGGAGTCAGATAGTTCCCGAAGTCTTTCTTCATTCTTTTTCCTTCGTACTTCTCTTCCCTTTTCTGTTTTGGTTCTTTTTATTTCTGTGTCTTCAAGATTACTTATTCGTTCTTCCATTTCATCTATTCTGCTTTCATTGCTTTTCCCAGAGTTCTTTAGTTCCTCCATTAATTCTTTGATCTCCTGCATTTCTCTTACTTCCCTCTTTAGGGACTCAATTTCCTTCTTCTGATCTATCACTTTTTTAATCATGGCAATTTTAAATTCTCTTTCTGGAAGGCTCAGAAGTTCTTCCAAGTTGCTGTCGTTGCAATCTGGGGAGTGGTTTTCTTTTTGTGGTGTGCTTCTTTCCTGAGGAGTTTTTAGGTTGCGTGTGGTTCTTCTACTCCCTACTGTCTGTTTTCTAATTTGTCGTATGCGTTGGGACACTGTGTTGCTCGGACTGACTGACATCTTGGGTGAACTTCTCCGCTCCCCTCTGGCTCTTCCAGGAGCCATCTCAGTCTTCTGGGGGAGCTTTCTGCTGGTTTTAGGCAGTTTTTACTGAAGAAATGTCCCTGTTCTCAAATGGCGAAGCGGGATGCAGTCCCTGCGCCTCCGGTTTCAGGCACACTCTTCTGCGCACCCGGTCTGCCCCGGACGTGGGTGCCTGCTCCCTCTGTGGGCTCAGACTGCTGGTCGGAAGGGGCCTGGCGTGGAATAACTTCCCGGCTGGCCACTGGGTCCTCCAGAAACCTTCTGCCCTTTTCAAGCAGACGGCAGCCCGGGCTGTGTGCGCGTCTCCCGGGGTCTTTGTTCTTCTCTAATGGCGCCCGGAGCCGTTCGCTCACCGCCGCGGCGGATCCTGCAGGGTTCTCCACAGCTCCCGTTCACGGGGTGTGGTGGCTGCAATAGTTCCTTTCCGCTCACAGTCCCGCTTGCTGCGTCGTTTTAAAGATTACATTTTAATGAGATTGTTAATTAACTCTCAATGCATGTGTAATTGCAGGATTTCTGGTATTTTTGGATGTGGTGTGCAAGTTTCTTTTAGCAGAATACTTTTGAATAGACAATTTAAGGAGAAGGGTTGTTGAATAATTCAAAAAGCGAACAATATAATTTAAAAGATTGGATCTTCACTCTTATATAAAGAGATACAAGGTGGAGTCTTGTTGGGAATTTACCATTCACATTCCTTTCTTTTTATTGATCATTCTGATTGGAGTCAGAATTCTGACCACCTCTCCAACCAACTTCCAGTTATCTGAGTAACTCTAGGAATATTAAGATAGAATATTTATTAGTTCTTTCTATAGTATATTAGTTCAATGAGAAGTTTTGGCAAGGGATAACTGTGAACGTATTCCCCCTTGTCTTTTTAAAAGTCACTAAGAGACATGATTAGGCCATACTCAAAAGAGTGATGATGCTATGAAAAGTCTGGTAAATCCCCCAATTTTTTTTCATAGGAGTTATGATTATTCTGGCTAGTCCCCAAAGTTGGTCAGAAATCCTCTCGTGAAGATGAAGGTAGAACAAAAAAACTTGGAGGACTGTAGAGAGAGCTCTGAGCTTGTAAGAGATCTCTGATGCTAAGGATCTGAATACAGAAGCAAATTATTTATATCCCTGTAGACATAACTATATATTCTCTGTATACACTGAATTTTATGTTTCATATGTATCTATATTTTAAAATTGAAATATAATTGATAAATAACATTTGTTTCAGGTGAAACAATGATTTAATGTTTGTATATATTGCTAAATGATATAGTATAGTCTATTGAACACCAACTACCATCCATTATTATATTTTTTCTTGTGATATTCTCTTTCTTAACAACTTTCAAATATACAATACAGTGTTATTAAATACAGTTTCTATGCTGTATATTATATCTCTGCTTATTTATTTTATAACTGGAAGTTTGTACTTTTGACCAACTCTGCTGTCCCTTGCATCTGGCTACCATCAACTATTCTTTGTATCATGAGCTTGTTGCTTTTTCCACCCAAATTCCACATATGAAATCATATGGTATTTGTCTTTTCTGTCTGACTTATTTCATTTAGCATAAAGTCTTCCAGTTCCATCCATGTTGTTGCAAGAGGCAAGATTTCATTTAATTACTGAGTAACATTTAATGTATATTTATATATTTCTTTGTGGATGGATACCTCATTTCTTTATCCACTTACCCATTGATAGACTGTTCTGCCACCATGTCTTGACTCTACAGTATATGCAGCAATATACATGGGTGTGCAGCTATCTTTCCAAGTCAGTTTTTATTTCCTTTGCATAAATGCCCAAAATGGAACTGCTGGGTTAAATTATATTTTTATTTTTTGCCCTTTATTATATTATTTATTGAAGTAACATTGGCTTACAACACTGTTCATGATTCAGAGATACAGGCTCACTCCCCTTCAGATGTATGTTACAACACCACATCCTCCACACTATTTTCTATGTTGCTGAACCAATTTATATTCCCACCAACAATAGACTGGTCTCCTTTTCTTTATATCCTCACTAACATGTGTTACTTCTTGTCCTTTTGATAGTAGTCATTCTAACAAGTGTGATGACATCTCATTGCGGTTCTGATTTACATTTCTTTGATGACTAGTGATTATGAGCCTCTTTATATGTATCTATTGATGATCTATATTTATATGTCATTTTAGTTTTTAGATGTAGTCCCAATTGCTTATTTTTGCTTTTATTGCCTTTGTTTTTGGTATCAAATAAAAAATAAATAAATCATCACCAAGACTCATGCCAGGTGTTTTCTTCTAGTTTAATGACTTTTATCTGACATTCAAGTCTCTGGTCCATTTTGAGTTGGTTTTTGTGTATGCTGTAAGAAAAGGGTCCAGTTTCATTCTTTGCATACGACTGTCCTGTTTTCCCAACACCATGTATTGAAAAGCCTGGGTCCTTTCTTCTTTGTGTATTCTTGACTTCTTTGTCATAGATTAATTGACCATATGTGTTGGGATTTATGTATGGGATCTTCTGTTCCACTGATGACTGATCTAATCCCCGTTTTTATACTAATGCCATACAGTTTCAGTTGCTATAGCTTTGGAATATAGCTTGAAGTTAGGTACAATGCTTCCAGTCTTGCTCTTCTTTGTTGAACTTGCTTTGTCTATTTAGGGTCTTTTTGGTTCCATACAAATTTTAGGATTTTTTTTTCCATTTCTGTGAATAAATGTCACTGGAAATTGAATAGGGATTACATTGAATCTGTAGACTACCTTGGACTAATTCTATTTAAAGTGAATAAAACCAACAAACCAAGCAAATGATATTATTTGGAGGAAAGGTGGTATTCTTAAAACCAAATATAAGGATTTTTCAATCCCACTATGCCACTTAATTGTCAGTCTTACGCAAAACAAATAAAAATTTTGGTCTTAGTTTTCTCTTTGTAAAGTAGAAAATACATATCTGTCTCATAGTGCTGTTTCTAAAAGTAATGTATTAATATATTAATGCATGTTAAACACATATTTAATAATGGTTTTTATCATCTTTAATGATACACTATTTTATTTATCCTTTGGCTTCTACTAATAACTAAATGATGCTTGAGTATATTGTAAATTTTTTTATCACTACATAAAAAGTATAAGAAAAATATAATGCTGACCAGGTGTAAAATTTAGATATTTTAATTGCAATTTTCTTTCTTTCAGAATTACTTACTGTCATCTACCTTTCCAGAGTAAATGGCTCTATGTTGGAACAGAAAGAGGAAATACACATATTGTAAATATTGAATCTTTCATTCTTTCTGGATATGTTATCATGTGGAACAAAGCAATTGAACTGTAAGTTTGAACTTGAATATCACTTTATTTAGCTTAAATATTTCATATGGTAATGTAATATATATAATAAATTATAGTGCTATTTGAAATATCATAGCTAATTTATGATTTTTTGAATGAGTTCAGATAAAATAATTTAAAAACATTAAGACTTTTAAAAATAGATAATAATAACATATGCTAATTTTAGACTCTTTAAATACCATAAATAAGGGTTATGTATGCATTTTTGATGATAAAATTATAAGACCCATTCTAAAAGTTATATCTGAAAATCATCTCATTTCTTTATAATTACTATTGGTATAAATACTCCCATTCAGGAAGGAAAGTAAATTATTACCACATCTAGTTTTATATAAAAGTAATCATGAATGATCAGTGCATATATTTTTTGTGGTTAGGTGGTATCTTGTTCTTCTATTGTCTCATGAAAATACTTTTCTTGCTTCAGAGGAGAGTCAATTTTTCAATCTCTCTCATATTGTGAATGTATACAACTATTTGGGTATATAGTTGATGGCTTTTCCACTTTGACTTTGGCACTGATAGTTAAGTTTCCATACTAGTAAAATGTGAAATTGCCCAAATGTGAAACTTCATGGAGTTCTAAGTCATCGATTGATATTGCATACACAAAAAATTCCCAAGATGTTAATCAAAAAAAGAATTTTTCTTTAGTATATGCTTATGCTCTGTACTTATTATCCTTAATAATATGTTTGACTTCAGGCTAACATTCTTTTATACACACACAACACACATGTGTATGTGTATATATACATATATGTGTATATATTCTAAGTTATATAATTCTTCTCCAAATCTCTCTTTAAAACATCCTATTCTCATGAAGTTTGACTCTGGCTTTATAATAAATCTGTTATTCCTGTTCCCAGTATGCATGTGTGTTACTTGAGAGAAGGTCATTAATAGATATACTCTTACAATGTTCCTTTTTATTATGTAGTAATGGGTCTTTATTAATGATGATTCTTCCTCTCACATTCTCCAGAGCAGAATCATTGTTCATTGCTCTTTTTTTGTTTTCATACTTATTTTGGTGCTGTCCGCAAAGTGCTACTTAAATAATAATGTTAATGAAGAATTAGTATGATAGTTATATACTACTAGTGACTCACAGCCCTCCTTTATAATTATAATTGGTATAAACTATTTTGTTCATCTGTAGTCTAATGTTCTCTATGTATGTTTTTTAAGACATTTATCCTATAGACAATTATTTACTTTTTTAATTTGGTAAAGATTTTTCCCCCTGTAATCTTAATCTTATAAAAATGAAGAATAGGGCTGAATTTAATGCGTTTTAAAATCGTATTCTTAGTATATTGATAAAAACACAGGCAAACAAGAGTAAATCAAATTATAGAGGTTTCATACAAATTTAACATTAGTACAAATAGTAGTGTATATATCATCTGTGTTTATTAGGATGCTGCTAAAGTAAGAAGAGTTTGTTATCTAAATATATCAAATATTTCACCACTCTGACAATGCTGTTTTCCATGTTCATTTACTTAACAAAGGCTTTTCATAGTTCAAATTAATACTACTTGAACTAGTGAGTTAATTTACCTATATATGTTCACATAGTTTACACTATAATTATGAAATCAGAACAAATGAGTTTAAAAACGTGTTATAAAGGAAAGGTAAAATTAGGATATTCAAAGAAGTAAAGTTAGGTATTTTTATTTTTCATATTGTGATCTTATACATATGGTTAAGCATCAGAATATAATCTACCATTTTATAAATAAATTTGGTGTTTTTATAGAGTTGTACATGCCTCTTAAAATGTCCTTAAAATAACCTCAAGAAATTATTAGCAGACAACATTACCTACTGTTTCTTGGTTTACTCAGACCAGATTTCCAAAAAAGTATTCCCATGGCTTTTAGTTCCATTGTGATATTATTTTTTTCTTTTACTATATATATATATATATATATATATATATATATATATATATATGACCTCTTTGTTCATTTTTGTACAATGTATGCTTTCTCCTCTCAGGTGTAGTCCCCATGAAATTCCCACCACCAGTTCACCCCTGAATCATCACCATAGTCCCTTGTGCTCTTCTCTCTCCTGTTTTGATCTTTCTACCTCCCCATCCTTTGCAGAATGTTGATTTACATTTACCTGCTAATTGTTTTTTTAAATTATTATTGTTATTTTTTTAACCTGACCTCTTATTTGGTTCCTCTATATTCCTCCTGTAAGTGAAAATATTGGATATTTTTCTTTTTTCCTTCTGGCTCATTTCACTGAGCATAATCCCTTCCAGCTCTTTCCATGTTGCTGTGAATGACATGAGTTTATCTTTTTTGATTGATGAATAGTATTTCATTGTGTATATATACCACATCTTCTTAATCCAGTTATCTATTTTTGGGCATTTGGGTTGTTTACATATCTTACTTAGTTTAAATAATGATGCACTAAATATAGGAGTGCAGGTATCCTTTTAAATTAATATTTTTATGTTCTTTGGGTAGATTCCTAGGAATGGAATTGCTGGATCATATGGTAGCTCCGTTTTTAGTAGTTTGAGGAATCTCCACCCAGCTTTTTATAGTGCTTGGACCAGTTTGCATTCCTACCAGCAGTGTAGGAGAGTTAGTTTCTTTTTCTCCATATTCTTGCCAACATTTGTTGTTGCCTGTTATTTTAATATGCGCCATTTTCTTTGGTGTAAGGTGGTATCTCATTGTGGTTTTGATTGGCATTTCCCTGATTATAAGTGATGTTGAACATTTTTCCATGTACTGATTGACCATTTGCATTTCCTCTTTGGAGAAGTGTCTTTTTAGCTCTTGTATCCATTTTTGACGGATAGTTTACTTTGTTGAGTTGTGTGAGCTCTTTGTAGATCTTTGTGATAAGTCCCTTATTAGTTGCATGGAGTGCAAAAATTTTCTCCCAATCAGTAGGGTGTCTCTTTGTTTTGGTTTATGTCTTTTTTGCTATGTAGCTTTTAGTTTGATATGATCCCAGCTGTTTCTCTTTTCCTCCATTGTGATATTTTAAATGTCAGCTTTCAGTTTTATGGACTCTATTTGCTTTATCTCTTGAAGTACATTAGAAAACAAATGCCATTGCCTGTTAATGTATCAAGTGTGTGAGACAATAACAGAATACATATTTAATTAGTCATCTTGTAAATAAAATTTTAGATACATTTTAATACATTTTCTAAACATGACATGCAAAATATATTGTCTTTAAGAGATATAACATTATTTCTCTTTTAAGTCCTTACTTGAAGTACTTTTCATTCAATTTTTTTATCTTGTTTCTACCTTTAGTGAATTTTCCTAATTGTAATTATAGACAATTGCCAAAATTATTATTAGTGTTCCCAAAATGTATACATTGATTATTTGGAAACTATAACACATCTTTCATAGAAATAGTGATGTTTATAAAATGCCTCATAAAATAGTACTACAAAACTGACATTAAAAAATATTTCTATATGAATATATTCCATTTTATAGCACAGAAATAGCTGTTTATTCATGTAAGCCCTACCACTATATAGCAAAAGTAATATTTTTTCTACATGTGATTAAAATTTGAACATGTTATTCAGAATTGATTAGCTTACAGTTTGTGTTTAAGTAACAGTGGTTCAAGCTTGGAAGACATAGTTTCTCTCCTCTTAGGGCTTCCAATCTAATAAAGATGAAATTAAGTAAAAACTCATTAAAAACTACTGGAAATACCGGGGCCTCCCCTGTGGCGCAGCGGTTGAGCGCTGGGTTGCGAAGCTGCCCGCGGCCTCTGCGGCGCCGGTTCGATCCCCGGCTGCTCCCCGGCCACCGGAGGAGGGTCCCACATGGCGCGCAGACCTCTCCTGCCGCCCGCTGCTCCCCTCAGCAGTGTACCTCGGTCCTTCTGCCTGCTCTGCTCCACGCTCTGGCTCTGGTGAATTCTCTCACCCTCCCGCGCTTCTGACTGTACCCAGTGCTTGTATAAACAAACAAACAAACAAATAAATAAATAAAACATGCCTCTATTAAAAAAAAAAAAAAACTACTGGAAATACCTTGTGGTAATTCTATTAGCAAAGCCACCTATATGCACATGGGATCTCAAGAAAAGTATCTGTGAAAGAAAGCTCTATTTATGTTTAGATCTGAAGGATCAGTTTCAGTTAAATTAAGAATGGTGGTGAGGGTGTCCCAGGGAGAGGGAATAGGTTTAAATGATCGAAGGTGAAAGTTTTTGTTCCATGCACAGAGATTTTAAGTAGTGTAGTGGGTTAAAAAGGCTAGGGTAAGGATATGAAGAGATAAGACTTAGGGTGTAATTAGGGTATAAAAAATGAAAGGCCTCATAAGCCAATTTGTGAAGTTTGGATTTTAAGTCTAGGAGCTAGGTTTTGGAGGCTTTTAAGCAGAAAATGGACTTGAGAAAATTTGCATTTATGAAGACTACTCTGAATGCCACTGTGGAGATTGATTGAAGAGATACCAGACTGTAATCTTGGTAAAAATTATGATGGCAGTTTTATGAATAAAAATAAACCAACATGTTAAAGAGATATTTGTAGGAAGAATTGAGAAGCAAGACTTGGCTGTTACGGAAAGATGTAAGAATAACAGAAGAATTAGGGGTGAACCCAAGGTATTTGACTTGAGCAACTATGTTGAAATGGTGTTATTCAGTGAAAGTATGCAGGAAATTGAATAGACTGGGAGTAAAATAATGAATTAAATTTTGTTTATATATTTATTGAATTACATTATTTTTTATTAAAGTAACATTGGTTTACAATATTGTATATGATTTAGGGGTATAGGTTCACACTTTTTCAAATGTACGTTATCACACCACACCAATGACAGAACCACCCATAATCCTTCAGCATAGTTCATTGTACCCCCTCTTCCCTCTGCTCCCTTCCCATTTTCCACTCTGGTACCCTCAATTATGCAGCCAGGTTTCTAGGGTTTGTTTTTGGAGTAGTTTTTTCTGTTTCTTTATTTCTTTATATTCCACGTAAGTGAAATCACCTGATATTTGAGTTCAATTTTAGCTAGGATGAGTTGCGAGTGTTTATAAGATATTCAAATGGGATTGGTATAGAAGAATGGTAGGAGGTGGGATGTACGGTTCCGAAGGTAATGAGATCATAATTTACATAATGTCGAAACTATGAGAAGAGATGACATTGTGCATGAAATGTGTATTGAAAAGAGGTAGCAAACTAGTAGACAATGAACTGATTCTGGCTCAGGTTGTTTGACCGTCAAAGTATTTAGATGTTCTGAATTTTAAGTTTCTTTTATTTAAAATAGGTGAAGTAGAAAAGAAAACTTAAATTTCAGTTTTTCATGAAAAAAATTAATGAGACAATCATCAGTTGGAAATGAGTAACAGCTTTCCTTTCTTAGATGGGTAATGTCCTATCTAATTTGGCATGGTCTTAGTCTCTCTAATTTGCAAAAATTCCTGTGGACTCTTGAATTTATAACCACATACAAAATAGGAACAGATAGCAATCTAGGATGGCATACAAAGGAATCAAATATTTAAGATACAAGGAAAGGGGAAAAGTACATAAATGAAACTTTCAAGAAGCCATTGTAGTGAATGGGAGGAAGAAAAATAAATAGGGGGTCTTAAATGAATTACTGGGCATTATTTAGATGGATATTACTTAAATTTAATAATTCTATCTAAAATAGTTTTTGTGAGATTTATAGAATCTAGAATACACAGCTTTTTTTTCTGTCATTTTCTGATGGTCATAAGTCTAGCAAGTTAACATTTGGTAGTTTTGGGAAGTTCAATGTTAGTAAATAAGTCAGATAAAATTCATCAACATATTAATATATCTAGGTAGTGCAATAATATGAGGCTGTTTCTCTTAACCTTTGGTATCTTCTTAGTTTTTTTAAAAACGGTAAATAAGGGCCTCCCCGGTGGCGCAGCAGCTGAGCGCTGGGTTGCGAAGCTGCCCGCAGCCTCTGTAGCGCCGGTTCGATCCCCGGCTGCTCCCTGGCCACCGGAGGAGGGGCCCACATGGCGCGCAGACCTCTCCTGCCGCCCGCTGCTCCCCTCAGCAATGTGCTTTGGTGCTTCTGCCTGCCCTGCTCCCTGCTCTGGCTCTGGTGAATTCTCTCACCCTCCCACGCCTCTAACTGTACCCAGTGCGTGTATAAATAAGTAAAAAAACTTTTAATAAAATGGTAAATAATATTCTTCTAGTCTAAAGAAATTATTAAAAATAACAAATTTAATGATGATTATTTTCTGAACTTTTATGTTCCAGAGAGTCTGAGAATCTAAATGTAAAATTCTCACATATGGTCTAATTATAGTGTGTCTCAAAGTATACTTGTGATTTTTTTTTTAATATGGTTACTGAAAATAAATTCAGTGGACCAATAATTCTGGAAAATACTGGAGATTTGCCAATGTTTATTGCAATAATGTGCTATGCATATTACGATCCAAAGAAGCTCTGTAGAAGAAAGATATTTCACTTTAAATTAGGGTTTAAATACTTTAAATACTGGAGATTTGCAATGCTTATTGCAATAATATGCTCTGCATATTATGATTCAAAGAAGCTCTGTAGAAGAAAGATATTTCACTTTAAATTAGGGTTTCCCAAAACTTTTTGTTGTGCAAAAAGTGAAACATTTTATATATTCACTAGTTGATCATGGAGCACATTTTAGTGTTTGTTATTCTAGTCAAACCCAAGAGACAGGGGGTTATGGCTTATGGAATATTATTAGTTCCCAAGGACAACTGAAGGACATTGTCCCTTATCAGAAGCATTTTATACTATCACTAAGCAATGTATTTATATGTAAATATCACATATAAATATAGAAGTAAAAAACTCTAATCTTTTTATGAAGTTCTGTTTAGTTTCTTCTTGCATATATCCTAGAATGCAAACAATAATTCTGATATACTATTATTTCTATGACTCAAAATAAATATACATATTAGTTATTGAGAACTTACTATGTTTTGTCAATAAATTAGGTGCTATTTGTATACTAGTTTCTAATCCTCACATTCATTTATTTGATAGAATAGCTTCTACCTCCATTTTTGGATGAGAAAATTAAGGATAAAACTAATGAAGTAGTAGTTAGTAGTTCATGTTCAACAATGATATATGTCAAAGTTGGGAATATAAAATAAATATGCCAAATACCAGAGTAGAATTTAAAGTCAGATTGACAGAACATAGGTCCTTTTAACAATATGCTCTTATAATTATCTGTTATTGATTACCCTAGAAAACCTGCTAAATGAGACACAACTGGTTTCCCAAGTTTTTTAGCATGGTTTTAGTTTTCTGTAAACTTGCTATCATTAAAGAGTTTCTTTGTAAATCAAGGAGCCACTGTATTTTTCTTTAGGAGCAAATCAGATTTCATGTCAAAGGAATTCTTATACCAGGTATGTACTGTACTTTGCAATTTGGTTGGAACAGGTTTACAGCATCAGCCTTGTGACTATAGAAATTTTCATTTGCATAAGTAAAAGTTTTGTTTCCAATAGAGACTCAGATCTTGTGAGGAATTCCATTTTTATGTGGTTCCATGTTCTTAAAGCATGATTTGAAAAATAAAAACACACCTACCTTAGTAGGAGGAAGAGAAGTAGTCTTAAAGAAAAATAATAGAAAGTGCCAATCTAAACTGGACTTCAAAATATTGGGAGCATATTCCAGTATAATAATAATTTCTTTTTATAAATAACAGTTTATAATGGTAAGGTGTTTTAATGTTTTTGTTTTAACTACTGTTTTGAATTAATTTAACAGATCCACAAAGACTCATCCAGGTCCAGTTGTACATTTAAGTGATAGCCCAAGAGATGAAGGGAAAGTGAGTATTACAATACCATTTTTTTTTCCTCATTCTTGAAAAAACTGTTTCTTACCATTTTATACCAAAAGTCTAGCACAGTTCATAGCATTAAGTGTAATCTAAAATTAAAATACATTGAATGATGAGCAAATAAATGAATGTATTATTTACACTAATAATGTTCCCAAATTAAGTCTTTAGTTACAGCAGAACTAAAGTTGATATTTAATTCTGGAATTTTGAGGAAGGCATGGAAAAGCTTTAATTTTCAAATATTCTGTGTTTGAACTTATCAATGTGATTATCAGTATTAATCATTGACTTACATTTTTCAGTTTTGATAATAAATGGCCAATATTAAATAAAATGTATTAAGTTAAATATTAAATAGAATGTATAAATCAATTCTCGCTTTTGTTAATAGATAATGATATAGAAAAATCTCAGATTATAGAAATAATTCTTATCTTGATTAATAATTTTTCTTCGATAATGAGGAAACAAAGTTGATCACATCAAAAGACCTGAAGTATCATTTTCATTATAAATATTATCTCTCTTAAAGTATATTATTTTTGCTAAGTACTATAGAAAAAACTTAAGTGAATTATATAGCAAAGATTTGATTCTTTGTTATTTTTAAAGGAAAGAAACTGAGTTAACCTAAAAAGTACTGAGCCTGAAATGCAAGTCTGCATGATGGTAATGGAACAACAGTGGATTTCTCCAAATTAATCCATAAATATGAAGTAATTCGAATCAGGTGTCATTAGAATTACTAATTTCATAAGCAGATTTTAAAATTTATAAGAAAAAGAAAATGTTTAAGAACAACCAAGGCATTTTTGAAAAAGAATTCCATTGTGATATTAATACAGAGGAATACAAGGAAAACAATAGATGTAAATATATATATTCCAGAAATGATTCAGGCATTTGGGAGAATTTTTCATATTTTAGAGAAGATATTTCAGGGCACTGATAAACTATTGAATTAATGGTGTTGGGCAACTGGCTGTCCATTTTGAGAAAAATAGTAACTGTTTAAGTTTATACTGTTTACTAAAGTAAATTCCAGATGGAGAAAACACAAATGTTAAAATAACAACCCAGAAATTTTCAGAAGAAGCTATAGGAACTGGCTTGATACTGTGAAGTAGGGGCATCTGTAGGCAAGACACAAAACCTAAGAACTTTAAGGAATATACACAGCAAGATAATCACGATAAGATATAGACAACAAGGTGGGAAACAACATTTGCTGTATTTACAGCAGGTAAATATGAACATGCAATATATACACAGAACTTTTACTGAATCGTCATCTTTCATAGTAGGAAATCTATATAATGTCAACTAAAAAAAAGCAAAACAATGTAATTATATTTCAAAATATGAAAGTAAATTGACTAATAGAGAATGGTAAGAAATGAAGGTGAGATAGCCAGTTAGCTCTAGAGAGCAGGATTTAGCAGTAAGAAGGAAATAGCTCCACTAGTAATCACAAGGAGAATGCAATATATCATATCCCCCTATCAGACAGGCATAAAATTAAAAACAGCAATAATATCAGATAATGGAAATGGCATCCAGATACAGCAATGGTAAGCATATATACTTGTTTGGATAGTTTAGCATTATCAACATTTAGAACATGTACTCATTTTGACCTAGAAAATCCATTTCAGATATCTATCCCATTTATATTACCCAGGCAAAATAATGAAAACAACTTAAATGTCTATTAATAGAAAATTGTATAAATAATTTTTGATATATCCATATTCTGAAGTGCTGTTATGATGTGGAAAATTCTTTAAACCAGTTTTTAAAAAGAATTGTACAATATAAAATCACTTGACTAAAGCGTTAATACTTTTATTTATGTTTTCAAATGTCCAAGATAAAAAAACTTGAAAGGATATGTATAAATCTGGGAGGATACTGGAGATTAGAATTGGGGGAAATAGTGAATATTTACCTCTTATTTTACTAATATCAAACTTTTTAGTAATAATAAGAATATGAAATGTCCTGATATCCAGTAGGCCCTCCTTCCTCTTCTCCCTCCCCCATCTTAACTTTTTCTGACTATGTTTTCTCCTGTGTGAATGTAGGATCAGTTTACCAAGCTCTGTGTAAATCCTTACTGGATTTTGTTTGAAACATGTACATTATTAAAGATAATTTACATTATTATAAATGAGATAGTATTTTCTGTGTAAGTATGATATATTTACTTTGGTTTTCTGTGTTTTTTTTTTTCATAGCTTTATAAGTTTTCACAAAAGTTTTACATGTGTTAGTTTAATTCTAAGTACCTTATAAGTTTTATTTTCCCTGTGAATTTTCTTAAAATTCATTTTATAATAGTATACTATTATACTAGTATACAAAATATTGATTCTTGTTATTTTTGCATTCAAATTAATCACTGAATGTTTTGTTTTTGTAAACTGTCCTTATAGTATCTGAAATATTCTATAGAGAAAAGCATAGTAAATACAAAGTTTGTGTCTTTCTTTCCAATGTTTTTATGTGTTCATTGTATTGGGTAGGAAGTCAGTACAGTTTTGACTAACTATATAATGGCAGCCCTTAAAGGAAGATTTTCTAACATTCCAGCATTAAGTAAAATGTTTACTGTAGGGCTTTAGTTGGTTGCTTTTATGAAGTTAAAAAGTTTCCACCCATTTCTAATATTCTAAGAGCTTTCAATTATGAACGTTTGATTTTATTGAATGTTTTTCTATAGGTATTAAGATTATCATTAATTTTTTGAAATATGTTAACAGATTCTCCCATTTTAAACATTTTTCCATTTTTGGGATAAATTCAACTTGGAAGGGGGAATTTCCCTTGGAGGCTTTTTGGTGAAGCAAAAGAAACAAATTACAGTTGTTAATTTGAAAAAATACAGTATCATAGAATCAGAAATAGATCACCTTTCCTTAATATCCTATTTACTAAAGAAAATGAAAATTCATCTATCAAAGAGAAGAAGATACTCTTGAAGTGAGAGACACCTATAATGGACATCTTGAGTTCTGTTAGCCTCTCATCTTCCAAACCCTTGGCTGGCTGCCCCCCCCACTTTTTTTTTGGCAAGGATAATCAACCTCATGCTGTACTACTTCTTGAAGTTGACTAGTTACGCTAAGTCTGTGACTCCGCCCTTTAATTCCAGATTCAAATAATGTGCAGTAATGAGATGATACAACTCTGAAGTGAGAGTGTTAACTTGCATGGAGAAAACCTTGACCATTATTAGAGAAGACACAAGAAATGAAGGAAATGTCTGCATATTTGAAAATTTTAGTGTGGTTATCCTTTTCTGACATTTATTGACAGAAGAGGATAATGGCACAGAAACAGACTCCATGCTATCTGTGGGGATTAAATATAATGGACAAGTAGTAGCCAGGTGGCAATATTTAACCATCTGGCAATATGACCATAATTATCATAACAAGCAACAAGGCTAGAGTGGCAATAATTAATGTTTCTAGGAGCAAAACTAGGTGAGTGGTTGACTAGGATGTTATTTGATTTGGATTGTTGAAAAAATCAAGAGTATTTATCTCTTGACATTGACCACAAAAATGGAAAAATCATATTCATGTTTTTTGCTACAAGTCAGCTCACAGATCTAGAGCCCATTGATTAAAAAAAAAAAAAAAGTTGTGCCCCAAGAAGGATCCTTAAATGCCTCCCCCTATAAGTACATAGAGTAATGTAGACGTATCTGTAGTTATTTGCAGGAGTAACAGTTCACTTTTTCGTACCATTTGGTAGAAGGTCAGAGCAAACATTGATAACAAGAGATCCAAAAAAAAAAAAATTCCAGCCCTCCAATTAGTCATAATGTGTGGTACTAGATAACAAGGTAATAACCAGGTTTTAACCTAAGTTTAGCTCTTAAAGGTCCGATATATATTCGGACACACCCAATTGTATAAAATGGTTGAGATTGTACAAAAGTTTAAATTAGTATATAAATACATGTAAGCAAGCACTGTGTATAAGCTATAAAACTATGCTATTAGCCATACAGAAATATAGGATTATTATATCTGCTGGATTGACTGTTTCTATTACAAAATATTACCCTTAAAAATGTTTGCCTTTAAGTCTATTGTTATGAACTTTGTATCCTCTCAAAATGTGTATTTTGAAAACGTTAACTATCAAAGAGATGGTACTAAGAAGTGGGGTATTTGGGAAATGAGTAGGTCAAGAGTGTGAATCCTCATGAATGGGATTAGTACCTTTATAAGAGAGACTCAGAAAGCTCTCTTGACCTTTGTACAATACTTTATGAAGACAGAGCAAGACATACATACATACATTCAGAAACCAGAGCCTCACCAGATGCCAATTATGCTGGTGTAATGATTTGCACTTTTCAGCCTCTGGAATTCTGAAAAATAAATATTTGTCTAGTCATTCTCATTCTGATATTTTTGTTGTTGCAGCCTGAGCTAAGATATCTACTTGGTATTAGTATAACTTGCCAGTTTTCTTTGCTTAGGATTTATATACTGTATCTTTTCCTATCCTATTACATTCAAATTTTCATTACTTAAGTGTATCTTCTAAAGCAGCAGATTGTTGTTTTAACACAGTCTGTCAATTACTATTCTTTAGTTGATCTACTAAATCTGTTTACAGTATAGGATTTCTTGTTTCCCATATCATAATCTTAGCATTATCTCAATTTATGCCATTTTGAGATTTGGTATTTTATATTTTGTGATTCAGTCTATTGCTAATGTCTTATAAACAAAACAACTTCTATCTTTCAAATGTTTACTTTTAAAGAATGTAATAGAATTTTAGGATATTTCATTATATATTAGAGTGGAAATTTGTAAGGTTAGATATTATTTTTTTTGCTGAAGTCCTATTTTCCAGACTTTTAGTTTACAGATCTCCTTTGCATATGAAAAATCCGTAGAAGTTTTTTCTCATACACATCATAATAATTGGTCTTACTATTCATCATTTTCTATGGTATATGAGAACAGCTGAAGTTAAAACACATCTTAGTACAGTATAAACAACTATATATAAATTTTAAGAAATATCCTTAGTGTGTTTAATTTTGACTTTTCTAGTTTAAGAAGTCATTATATTAATTTTGTAGTAGAGAATCCAATTTTTTATCAAATTAGGTTTTAAAATTTATTGTGTGTGGTTTATAACAAAGCACTTAAGTATGTTATCACTTTACATGTGAGTATATATATTGTTTTCATGACCTGATATTTGAAATTTTTATTTTCTTTAAAACTACTAGCCAGTTTTGTTGTTTTTTTAATGTGCTGTTATAAAATGTTGATGTGATTAGGTCTCATGATGCTATGTAGGTGTAGAACTTAGGTAATTGGAGTATAGCCACTATATTTTCTATTTTTAGTACTGTTTGAAATTATTGAACTATCTTTATGAATCGTATAATAATTTCATTGGAAGAATACTATTAATGAATTTCAAGAAAATCAATGGGAAATACCATCGTTAGAACATTAGCTTATTTTATATTTTCTATTTTAACTAATAGATTAAATAATACATAACTATAAATAGCATAGAATCATATTACCTGTTTTCAAACTATTAAAATGCATATTGTTTTACTTATTAATTTATAAACAAGTATTAAGCATTTTCAATTGGACTGAAGGGCATATACGTTGTTTATTAGACTTACCCATTTCATCCTTTATTTCAACTCCATTTTCTATCCCACCTTTTTCTTCCAGTTTTTAACATTCATTTTTATGTTGTATCATTCACATATACATTTATATGTATATGCATACACACACACATATAAATGCTCCCTTGATTTCTCTTTGGAATTAGGCAGATTTCATTAGAAAACATTTTACTGAAGTAGAGGACATTTGCCAAGTTTTTTAAGTATTTGTATTTAAGTTCAGAAAAGTTGGTATTCTAAATAACGCTTTAGTATTTAATATATTACTTTAGTGTTAACACTAAATGTTATATGGAGCAAGTTAAAAATAATGTTAGAATTACAAAAATAATTATTCTAATGTTTTCCAGCTGCTAATAGGTTATGAAAATGGTACTGTAGTATTCTGGGACTTGAAATCTAAAAGAGCAGAACTGAGAGTTTATTATGATGAGGTAAGTGATTTCTACTGTAATGTTTAAAAAGAGTATTATAACTTTGTTTCTGTTTTTCACTTTTAAGCTTTGTGTTTACCAATATTTTTATCAAATATTTTACCAATATTTTATCATTTTATCATTTAGTTTACAGATCTCCTTTGCATATGAAAAATCCGTAGAAGTTTTTTCTCATACACATCATAATAATTTCTCATACACATCATCACTTTGCTTGTTGGTATTTGTACAAGGTCTGACTCTGGATTGTTCTTCTGGAAATTTTGCCTATTGGGGGCCCTTTTTGGCATCTTAGATACTTCAGTGCCTGTTGACTATACTACTATGTCCCTAACTTTATCTAAATTTTTCTTCCATTAAGCTCCTTGCTTATGTATTGCTTCGCTGTCCTCAAGGTGTCTAAAGACACCATTCATACCTTCCACAGAAAATTCTTTTTCTATGACAGAAAGTTTAAGTAGTCAGTTTGATATTTTATCTGCTAACACTTTTCTTCTGAGAATAATGATTTTGTAAGTAATAAAAGCAAGAGTCAGTAAGACCTTGAAGTAAGTTTTTGTGCAAATAGTTGAGACTTAGGTAATGAACTCCCATTTATTAGGGAATATTGTCTAAGTTGACAGTTCAGATATTGATTGTAGGTCATTAATTATATTCCCCTTTCCCCTTTAGAACAGCCTAGTGTAACAGTAGTGAGACTGGGGGCAAAAAGGTGAGAAATGAGAATAACCTTTTCCAGTTGTGGAAATGAAGGTGATCATCTAGGCTCTCAATTAAAATGTTTAAATGATAGATGGAGGGCAAGAAGGACAGAGATACAGATTAGAATCTCTGATAGCTCATCCTTATATGGGAAGAGTGTCAAAAGAAGTGACAGTGACACTGAAATAAATAGAAAAATAAAAAGATACATTTCTTTTAGAATACTTTCTCGGTATGCTTCACAGCAGTTGATTTTTGTGTGTGTGTGTGTGTGTGTGTGTGTGTGTGTGTGTGTGGAAATGTGATGGGATAGAGTATGTGGTAAGTGTAGTAAACTGGGGTAAACAGCCAGCCTTTCCCTTAGGGTTCTTCTGATCATTCCTTTGTCTTCTTTCCTCTGGGTTTAGAGAGGGCACCTCTCAAATGAGGATTATTAAAAAAAATAGTTTTTTTTAAAAAAATATTTATTTATGCATACAAGAACTGAGGTGTAGGCCAGAGGTGCTGGAGTTGGTGGGACAGGGGATGAGAGGATTCACCAGAGACAGAGCGGGGAACAGAACAGGCAGACTAACTAAAACACACTGCTGAGGGGAACAGCGGGTGAGACAGGAGAGGTCTGCTGTGCCATGTGGGTAGCTCCCTGGCCAGGGATGGAACTCATGCACAGCAGTTGAATTTCTAACATGTTGGTGCTTAAAGGTAAAAATCTTTGGCGGGCCTCCCCGGTGGCGCAGCGGTTGAGCGCTGGGTTGCGAAGCTGCCCGCAGCCTCTGCGGCGCTGGTTCGATCCCCGGCTGCTCCCCGGCCACCAGCGGAGGGTCCCACATGGCGCGCAGACCTCTCCTGCCGCCCGCTGCTCCCCTCTGCAGTGTACTTCGGTCCTTCTGCCTGTTCTGCTTCCCAATCTGGCTCTGGTGAATTCTCTCACCCTCCCGCGCTTCTGACTGTACCCAGTGCATGTATAAACGAAAGAAAGGAAGAAAGAGAGAAAGAGAGAAAGAGAGAAAGAGAGAGAGAGAGAGAGAAAGAAAGAGAGAGAGAAAGAAAGAGAGAGAGAAAGAGAGAAAGAAAGAAAGAGAGAGAGAAAGAAAGAGAGAAAGAAAGAAAGAGAGAAAGAAAGAGAGAGAGAAAGAAAGAAAGAGAAAGAAAGAAAGAGAAAGAAAGAAAGAAAGAGAAAGAAAGAAAGAAAGAGAAAGAAAGAAAGAGAAAGAAAGAAAGAAAGAGAAAGAAAAAAAGAGAAAGAAAGAAAGAGAGAAAGAAAGAAAGAAAGAGAAGAAAGAAAGAAAGAGAAAGAAAGAAAGAGAAAGAAAGAAAGAGAAAGAAAGAAAGAAAGAGAAAGAAAGAAAGAAAGAGAAAGAAAGAGAAAGAAAGAGAAAGAAAGAAAGAAAGAGAAAGAAAGAGAAAGAAAGAGAAAGAAAGAAAACATGCCTCTATTTAAAAAAAAAAAATCTTTGGCTATTTCATAAACTACTCCTCCTCCAATTTATTTCTTAGTAGTTTTGGCATTCTAAAATTTTAATAGTATGTACAAGATAGTTGTCATAGTGACAAAGAGTTGAGAAGTAAATGATATAGCAGCTGGGTAATTTGGTCATGTGTGGTGAAAAATACTCTGGCAAGTGATGTCACATAATTATCTTCTTTATAATCAAGTTCTGAAGCATCTTGAATCATAACTGAAGTAGGAAATAGGGAGCTAAGCTAGGATTTTCCTTATAAATACACAAAATATGAAGATAAGAATGGAGAGCACCCTCTCTCTCCAGACTAGCAGTTAGATAAAAGTCCAAATGCTACCTAGGCATGTAGCCAATAAGAACTAGAGTAGACTAGCTAAAAAGGAACCCACCCCTATCCCCAAGTTCAAGGAAAATGCTGAATCAACTCTTTTCCCCATGAGCTTAAAAAGTGTGAAAGGAAGGTTTCTAATCTTAAACGAGAGTAAAAGTATCTTTGCAATGAACTGTTTAACAGTAAAATTGAAGTCAGTAGACTATTACACCATGTCTACTTTATACCTAGAAATCATTTAAAATACTGATTTATATTTATTCTCTCTCTCCCCCACACTGCTTTTCCCTCCCTCCCTCCCTCCACACACACACACACACAGTCAGTGTTCAGCTAATGTGAGTGTGGCAACTGGGATGAGATTTCTGTATATGTGTGTGTGTTTGCATGTATATAAAACTATTATTTACTTCAATGTATAATTAATATCTCCTATGATTTTAATAGTTATATACTTCATTTTATTTCACTTTATTTCCAAATTATTCAAACTTTCCTCAGCACTTCTCATGTTTATTTAGAAATCATCTATAACACTTACTTGAAATAGTTCCTCTTAAGTTACTGATGACCTCATTGTTACACAGTGATCTTCTTTGTCTTTTAAATTTCTCATTTAACCTTTTTAAAATGGTTTCTTTCCTGGTCTGTCTTTCTACCTCATTTTTCACCCCTCTTTTCTCAGATCAGTGATTTTTTTAAATATTTATTTATTTATACAAGAACCAGGGTACAGGCCAGAGGCACGGGAGAGTGAGAGGATTCACCAGAGACAGAGCAGGGAGCAGAAAAGGCAGACTGACCTAAACACACTGCGGAGGGGAGCAGCGGGCAAGACAGGAGAGGTCTCCCGTGCCAGATGGGAAATCAACCTGGCCTGCCGGGAATCGAACTGGTGCAGTCCGGTGCAGCAGAGGCTGCAGACCGCTTCACGGCACTGCGCTCACCGCCTGCGCCACCAGGGGAGTCCCCATGTCAATGATTCTTTCCTTAAATCTTTCTATTCTTCAGCATTCTATCTTCACCCTCTATTTGTTTCTCTTCCAATTTACATTTGTGTTCATATCTTTCCCCACTGTTGAAATAATACCTTAATACTAAAAAATGTAAAATTTCATTTATTTCTAATCCTTACCTTTCTCCTAAGCTCTAGACCCAAATATCTGTTAGATGAATCCAGATAAGATCTCTTTGGGACTGAACATTTTATTTAGGATCTGAATATCCTTCAATATTCTCTTTTTCAGTCTTAAAGTTATGATTAGTTATTTTAGATTACCACTCTCAGAATCATATTTGACCTTTTATTTTTCTTTATATATCATGTAATCAGTTTTATAATCTTGGTTCTGTCTTTACATTTTCTCTCATTTGTTTCCTTTTTCATTTTTACATTTAATGATCTAGTTGTCTTTTAATGATTAAGTTGTCTTTTGCTCAAAATACTATAAAATAACCTTTTAATAAAACACATTTCCTCTGTTATCTTACCATTTCAAGATATATTTTACTAACAAGATCATCATTTTTAACATGGTCAAATCATTTAATTCTCTAACTCAGGAACTATTGAATGGCTCCCAAAGACCAAAGTTTTTATCCTTTCACGTGAGATGTAAGATCCTGGTGCTATTGTTTCCCTTTAGCTAATTTACTACACCCTTCTACAGACTCTTCACACTTCAGACATTACTAACAATCTCCTAGACACTACTTATTTCCTACCTTCAAGCCTTTGTTCCTGCTCAATCTTGTTGTTATTGACTCTCTTCTTTCCTCTTCTTCAAACAAAATCCTTTCAATTCTTTAGCCTCTATAAAGCTATTTATACTATCTAGCTTATGATGAAAAGTCATTGATTAACTGGGAATTTTGTTTTGTAAATCTAATATTTTCAGAAATAACTGGATTCTAATTCCACATTGCTATGAAATTTTTGTTTTATTCATCAATAATTCTTGATCTCAAACCAGAATCCCTCAAAATTTGATACGAGGATAACCTTTTAGTTCCTTTAGTAACTCCTGTTTTTTTTTTCTCTTTTTGCAAATTTTTACCCAGCATTGTAGGGTTTTTTTTTTCTTCAAGAAACTTAATACACAGCACTGAATTACCCAAACTGGCTAGTTTTCCATATTTTATTTTTTATCTTTGTAAATTCTTCTTGAATTGGTTGTTTTATATTTGGTTTCTCAGTAAACATTTTAAGTCCATTTTTAAGAAAGGAGTAATGCATAATCAAATAAATCGAAATGGAATAATTATGCATTAAGTTGGCTTAAATGCCAGCTCTTTCAGTAATACACTATTTGACATAGTCTAATAAGTTGGTTTGACATGGTTACTGTTCTGAACAATGTATATTTCTCTTATACTTATTTTGGTTTTGTGTTCTAGCTATTTTTATTTCTGCCTTCTCCAATAGGTAGAAGTTTGGTGAGACAGTAGAATAGTTAGGGCTGAGAAAGCTTTCTCTACACAATTGGTAGCAAAGCAGTAGCAATTTGGTAGCAATTTGAAGAGAGAACTTCAAATTGACTGAATTTCATCCAAGCTATCAAGTAGGGGAGGCAAGAAGTGACATTTCCCTTGAGCAACTTACAAAAATGAGAAGAAATAAACAAAGGAAAGGAGAAAGATGAGTGTTTTTCACTTCTATCTTCCTCTATTAGATCCTGGGGGGGACGTTTTCGCTGGCTAGTAGTGAGGACTAGGGGTGAGGGGGAAAAAAAAATCCAGGGTTTCATGTTATCTTTTCCATTTAATCCAATCTTATGTTTTGAGGTACAGATCATATCCCATTTCCTTTGATTATTCTAGTCATCAGTTATCTATAACTCTAATAATACTTCCTATTTGAAAGTTCCTAACAATCAGGAACTCAGTTTTACATATTTATACATACTTCTTATGTTATATATTTATAATAGTTATTAACATTTAACATATATAACATGTTGAAATAATGTTAAGTTATATGTAATTATATTTAATTGGCTGTATGTATTGTATATTGCATATACTATATACTACATTTATAATTATATATAGTTAAATAAAATAGCTAAAATGTTAATATTTATAAACAATAATATTTATAAACAACATTTGTCAGTCTTCTGTTTTTTAAGTTCCTTTAAGGATTATGATTTAGTTTCATATATATTTTATTAATTCAGACAAAATGCCAAGGATGTGAAGATATATGATGACAATTACTAATTCATTCTACAGATACTTTGTGTATCTATCTTATGTAATTGTGCAATAAAGTAACCTAGGAAAATAGATCAATTATTTTTTTATGATTCACAACTCAAAAGTGAATCTGAAAACAGACAGGTTTTTGTAGTTAAGTAGACCTTGGCTGTGAATTGCATTACCTAAGTAAATGTCTCTATCTCTCTAGGCCTATTTTACTAAGTCTAACTTGGAAAAGCATTAATAACCTGTTTTATAGGATTAAATGGGATAATGCACATAAAGTGTTTCCGTGGGGTATCTCAGGTAGTAAGCCTTCAAGTGGTGGCTCTTAAATAAACATTTTTTTTAATTGGATACTTAAGTGGAACTAGGTTTCTACTTGACCAGAAATTATCTTCTTATAACCTTACTTTTACTTCTATGTAAGTAATTTTTCAAGAAGCAGCATAGGATACAGGGAGGACAAAGGATTTACAAGAAAAAGGGGTGGGATTTAATGATATTAGGAACTTACCTATTTTTTGTCTTAGGAGTTGAATTTTTGTAGACTTTATAAACCTACAAAGGATTGAAGCCAAAAATAGTATAATCTGAGTCAGAAAAATTACATGCTTCTCAAGTTTTATTGCTATACTAATTTTATGCCAGAATTTTTTCCTTTGGAATATAGAACAATATATCAACTTTTCCCCTTCTACTTGTTTTTAATTGTTATTTCATTAGGCTATTCATTCAATTGATTGGCATCATGAGGGCAAACAGTTCATGTGCAGCCATTCAGATGGCAGCTTGACTTTATGGAACCTGAAAAGCCCAAGTCGTCCTTTCCAGACCACAATTCCACATGGTAAGAAGTGTGCTTTCAAAAGAAATAAACTCTGGAGATACAGTGCCTTGACTTGAAAGAGAGATGGTGGTAGTGTGCTTTGTAGAAAGAGGTGACTGGACATGTCTTCTGACTCTAAATACCTTTGTATACCTCCTTCAGATCGCCACATTGTACTCCACACTGTGTGCTTCCTGTCCATCCATTTCCCCACTTTGTAAGCCTGTGCTTAATTTCTCAACCACAACTTGGGTGATGGGTAGTTGATGTATTTGAAGCAGAGGAGACAATATAAGAAATGTTGTCAGTTTTAAGGATAATGCATTAGTGAGAAAATGGTGCAAAAGGAATTAGATCTAATTCCTTTGCTCCTTTATAGTCTGTTATTTTCTAGATCCTCCCATTCATTTCCATTTCTGCCATATGATGCTGCTAAACTATGAGGATGGTAGTTTTTAGTCATAGATTATATTTATCACATCTTCCTTATTGAAAAGAGGCATTCAGGATTTATGTGGGATTTATCTTACTTAACTGGGCAGTACAAATGTATGACTATCTTTTATTCTGAGAACATTAGTAATGATCTGAGTTCCAGGTTTACCTCTCACCTTTGGTGGTTTGTAAGAATAAGAAGGTCAAAACCTAATGGTCAAACACATTCTATTTTAATTTTATTTCTAAGCATTTTCATGTTGTAACATTTAGAAAATAGGTTTTTTATAATAGATGAGTCATAAAACACAAGACAGGATTATTTTATCTTGTGTTAGTCTCTTTCCTTATAACACAGGCATATGTTCCACCTGCAATGATTCAATTATTACATTTAACCTAACTTTAGAGATTGTCATATATTTAGATATGTATAGATGCTTTTTAAAAATTTATTAATTTTTCATTTATAAAACTGTAATTTGGGGAATATATCACACCTCAATATATGTATGTTTCACTTATCACGAAATTTTAGTGACATTACATTATCGCAATGACTCCTTTACCCCTTCCTCCTCCAGTCAATACCGAATTTGTCAGAATCTAAAATTTTTATTTTGGGGTTCTAGTTTGTTTTGGGGGGTTATTGAGTAAAACCATCTGGTAATTGTCTTTTTCATATTTCAATTAGCATATATTCCATCCATATTATTGCAAAAAGCATGATTTTATCTTTCCTATTAGCTAAGTAGTAGTTCATTGAGCATACACACAACACACACAACTTCTCTTTCTAGCTAAAGATTTGTCAATTTTCTAGAGCTTCTTAGAGAAGTGATTTTTTATTAATTTATATGCTAATCTTATTTCCCTTTTTCTGCTTGCCTTAAGTTCAGCTTGCTCTTGTTTTATTCTGTGTTTTAGATAGATTACTGATTCATTTTTTTTTTTTAATTTTTTTTTATAGAGGCATGTTTTTATTTATTTATTAATTTGTTTGTTTGTTTATACATACACTGGGTACAGTCAGAAGTGCGGGAGGGTGAGAGAATTCACCAGAGCCAGAGCGGGGAGCAGAGCAGGCAGAAGGACCGAAGTACACTGCTGAGGGGAGCAGCGGGCGGCAGGAGAGGTCTGCGTGCCATGTGGGACCCTCCTCCGGTGGCGGGGAGCAGCCGGGGATCGAACTGGCGCCGCAGAGGCCACGGGCAGCTTCGCAACCCAGCGCTCAACCGCTGCGCCACCGGGGAGGCCCTACTGATTCATTTTTAATATAATAGCTTATATCCAGAAATTTCTGTTATCTTAGAAGAGATGGTGATATATTTGTTATACCTTCAAATCATTTCTGTCAAAGTATTTTTGATTTCTTCTTTGGCCCTTCAGTAAAATATTAGCCTGGTCTCTTCAGTTTTCTTATGTTTGTCATTTACATGATGTATCCTTTCCATCCTAATACTTTCAGCTTTTGTATCTTTAATTCTAAAGTGTGTCTCCTTCAGATCATAGCTCGATACTATTTTTTTTTTTTTAATCCAACCAGACTGTCTATGCCTTTGTGGTTTAATCCACTAACAATGTTATTATTGGTACTGTTCCGTTTTAATTTTTGTTTCTACATTCTCCTTTATTGCTTTTTAGGGGGCATTAAGTGAATATTTTCTAGTGTGATATTTCCAGTATTTTTATTTTCTTAGTGACCACGTTAAGATATATCATGTACACACTAACTTATTGGAATCTATTTAAAATTTATATTAATGGGATGTCAGTGTGATATAGAAATGTTACTCCTATATGATTATATTCCTTTTCCCCTAGTGTTACAAACCCAACAATATATTGTTATTATTTTAGTAAATATGACTTTTAAAGAAGCTGACAAATGGATAAAGTACATATTTATGGAATCTGTTACACTGACCTATTTCCATATGGCTGTGGGTCTCTATTGTTCCTGTGAATTCAAGTTACCATTTGGTGATAATGTCTTGCTCCAATGCAACTTTGTTTCTACCCACCACCTTGTGTTGTTATTGTCAAGTATATGATATATCCCATACTATAAGTCATATACCTTTATTTTATATAATGTCTTTTAAAATCAGTGAGAAAATTGGAGAATATGCAATTATGCTGTCCTTCATAATTATTTACATAATTTCCTTTACTGATGCTTTTTTTGTAGGTTCAAATTCCTGTTTTTCTTAACCAGAAGAACTTTAGTTTTTGTATAGCTTTATAACTTTTCACAAAAGTTTTACATGTATTTTGTTAGCTTAATTCTAAGTACCTTATGAGTTTTTTAATTACCTGTAGTTATACTTATTTCACCTAATTTTTGAAATATAGTAATAATTCTTGTAAATAATTTACTTTTTCCATTACTTTAAATGTCACTTCACTGTCTTTTGACTCCATTGTCCCCAGTTGAAAAGTCAGCCATTAATCTTATTGGGGCTCCATGTGATGTGAGTGAGCCATTTTTCTCTTGCTGTTTTCCAGATTTTCTTCTTTGTTTTTTTTTAAAGCAACACTTGTTTACAATATTGTATATGATTCAGATTTAGGATCACACCTCTTCAGACATGTTACCATACCACATCCACCGTCATTCTGAAGCTATCCTAAGTAAAGAAATATATATGCTGTAAACATATCTGTGTAATAGGTATCTGTGTCTATGAACAATTGTGGCAATATAAGAATAAAGGCACTTGTTAAAGTAGAAAAGAAACATGAAAAAATGTCAATTTTATTATATGAGACATAGAATTATAACCAGAAACTTAACAAGATTAGAATGTTATATGAACTGATATGTTTTTATTTCCTTATCTTTTGATCCATTGTTCAAAATCTTAGGAAGTCTTAACAGAGCTCTTCCCCTACAAGAAGATATTGTTTATCATTGACATTATTTTTATAAATTTTGAAGTGTACCATGTGTTTTTTGTCTACTGAACATCCTTTAAATGAATGTGATAAAATTGCAGTAATTTTGATAGTGTATCATAAGCTTTAAATGAAAAATCTTTTTTTTAAGATTTATTTATTTATTTATTTTTACAAGCACTGGGTACAGTCAGAAGCGCAGGAGGGTGAGAGAATTCACCAGAGCCAGAGCAGGGAGCAGAGCAGGCAGAAGGACCGAAGTACACCACTGAGGGGAGCAGTGGGCGGCAGGAGAGGTCTGCGGGCCATGTGGGACCCTCCTCCGCGGTGCCTGGGGAGCAGCCGGGGATCGAACCAGTGCTGCAGAGGCTGCGGGCAGCTTCGCAACCCAGCGCTCAACCGCTGCGCCACCAGGGAGGCCCTAAATGAAAAATCTTTGATATGAAAGGGGTTTGCTTGTGTTACAGATAAAATTTTGAGCCTAGTTATGGATATTCTTAGTAATTTCATTATGCAAATAAGTATGTCGTGTGTCTTCAACTCTAAAGTTTATTTTGAAACGTTACTAAAATAATATTACATGAGATAATTCATATGTGAAAGCAATAAAAATAATTCTTGAATATATAGCAGGCAATTGCTAAGACTCAACAAAATGTTAGTATAGACATGTGTTTATCCTGTTAAGACAAACATATAGTTATATTACTATACTCTTTATATTCATTTAGCCAGTTTTTTTTTTAATTCTCATGGATGAGTACAATAAAATCATTTAATAAATATTTTTTCTCTTTTCTTAGGGAAAACTCAAAGAGAAGGAAAGAAGTCTGAACCCTGTAAGCCAATTCTCAAAGTAGAATACAAGACCTGTAGAAACAGGTATGTATTTTTGTTTTGGGGGATACGGGAAAACATTTTTAAAAGTAGACATACTATTGTTTATTATTTGAAGCTTTTTTTACATAATTATAAAGATTGACTGGCAGAATCTTCTACATTAATAACAGATTTCTTATTGTTAATGGACATACTTATAATACTGTCTTACAGATGTTACAAGTAGCAATAATGGATGATTTTTTAATTTCTGTGGAGATACCAATGAGCATTATATATATATGAATTTTAACAATGTTGGACATTTTCGCCATGCATAGTGCAAGTGGCAATCTTTCAGCATTAATTGTTAAGCATAAGCATGTGACTAATGGGTACTGCACATGAATTAAATACATAACCAAATCTCTATACTTTAGATTCTTACATTCTGAAGTTGGAGGAATTATGTTTGGTTGGAAAGAAATAGTCACAGATAATTGGTATAATAAAATTGTACATTTTAAGATATAGAAAATCAAAGAAAAATAATAAAAATTTTTCTAATAGTAGTTATTCCTGTACATCAACAGTGTTGTTACTAACAATACTTATTAGTGCCAGCATTCTCACCCAAAATTATGATTTAAAAATCTTGCCTAAATCTTATTTTAGTCTAATTTGACTAATCCTACTTTATATAAATAAGATGCCAGGAAAACATTCTAGTGTGAGCATATCAGGTACAGTTAATATTTGTTTATATCAGCTTTTTCAAAGTTTTAATAGTATAAGATTATGGCCATTTTTAACAAATTAGTAGATGTGTATAAATGTGTCTGTAAATATGTAAAACTTATATGTACATATTAACATACTTGCTATATAAGTATTAAGACATATTTTCTTTCTTGAAATAGTATTTATAATGTAAACTTTGCTTTAGTCATCAGTTTCAATATTACTTTTATTAGTTGTTAATCAGCATTGCACTTCAAGGGCCATTGAGCTGTGGGGTACTGTATTAATTATTTCTAGCAGCTTGGGGTTGTGTTTTCCTCTTCACTTGTATAGTTTTTCTGTTCTCTTCAGTGTTGGCCTAGCAGGGATTCTTATTTCCATCATACTTTTTTTCTCGCAGTCAGTCTTATTTGTTCCATAGACTAAGAAATTTGAAAGCCAAACTTGTGCAAATGAGAGTACAATAGGTTTATATGAAGGCCTAAGAGGACTTTCCTTGATAAAGTACATGATCTGTGGACTTTATGACATGTTTGGTTTCTCAGGGGCTTTTTCAAAAATGTATTCTTATGAAATGGTCAATGTTCAGTTTAATTCAATAAAAAAAATGTTAAGATACTACTCTATGCCATATATTATGCAATCTGCTCTTGATAAATGTATACTAACTTCACTCCAGGTTTTTCTTTTTTTTTTTTTTTTAATAGAGGCATGTTTTATTTATTTGTTTGTTTTGTTTATACATGCACTGGGTACAGTCAGAAGCGCGGGAGGGTGAGAGAATTCACCAGAGCCAGAGTGGGGAGCAGAGCAGGCAGAAGGACCGAAGTACACTCCAGGTTTTTCTAATGCAGTTATAATGAGAGTAGAAAAGGTTTTGTTTCTGTCCAATATTAAAAGAGATATTTCTCAATGTGCTTAATAAAAAAGGAGAGTGAATCTCTTCCTATCCTATGTTTGCATTAATACTAGGAGATGAAAATTCACCAAAAACCTTTCACATGGAAAAACAGATATTTATAAGCTTAACTAATATTAGAAGTAAATTGTAAAATTCAGAATTTGAACAGATATAAGGTTCTCCAAATGATGACATTTTTTGCCATACCAAGTTAGAAAAACCCATAATTTATCATAAAGACTTGTATTAAAAATGATTTTTAAATCTCAAGAAATATTCATGTAAGTATGTATTTTATAGAAATAACAAATTTGTTTCTTAATGCCACAGTAGCATGGTAGTAATTTGCTATGTCAAATTACAGGGACAAGCCGCACTTAAATAAACTGATACAGGATTCAAAGGGAAAAAGTAGAACATTTCTGCTTATTTAACTTGCAACTGAAATATTTGTTTCAAAATATTAATATGTAATTATGTAAGTATAGGCATTTTGTATGTGGGTTTTTAATGGAAACTTTCTTAAATTTTTTATGCTATTTTATAAGCAGCATAAGATTAGCAAATATCCCATTGGTACTGTTTGGTAATTTGTATAGTAAAACATGGAAAAGGGAGAGCATATAAAGTAGATTTCTAGAAACAGATGAATTCTTCAGTTTAGCAGATGGACAGAAGTGAATTTTGAGGAGCATATTCTTAATGAATTTGTTGCTTTCATATCACCACATATTTTCATTTACATGCACATGCTAGAATATAGCTATTGATTTAAGAGAAAAATAAAAAATTATGAAGTTATTTCAAAATTCCAATTAATGTTTTACAGTCATTTCAGTTCCACTCTTACCTATCTAGCAAGTAACAGACTAAAATTTTTTTTTAGTTTTACAAGCTAGATAGAACTAGCTTACCCTTGATAAAATGGAAAAGCAGCTCACATTTTTATTTTGGTGAACTGTTTTCCCTTATATAGTATTCTCTATCTTCTTATCATAACCCCTTTTCAATAAATATGCCTTTATTGAATTTTCATATAGGCTTCTACCATTTTGATTCACCACTGTAACATTTCATTTCATATTAGTTTGCCTCTTTATCTCCTAGAGATGTGGGGCGCCACATGCCAGATGATTTGATAAGCTAACTAGCCTAATATTCTAATAGTAGTGATTTAAAGTTTAGAACCAAATAATATATGTAAAGATGTCCTTTTGATTCAACAACTTCACTGCCTTTACTCCAACCCACCTAAAAACCTCTAGAGCCACTCATTAGTGATTATGTGCATCTAGAAAAAGGGCAGTGGTAGAACAGTAAATTGTTGGGCTAGATATTTTGGGTGAGGAAAGACATTTGCTTCATGGCAGATTATATTGCATATAATCCCCACCAAACTGTTCTTTTTTACTTAGTCCTGTATATTGTTCCCTCTTAAAAGACTTTTCAGTATCTAACTCTTTTTCCTATGTAGTGAACCATTCATAATATTTTCTGGTGGACTGTCTTATGACAAAGCTTGCAGAAGACCAAGTTTAACCATCATGCATGGAAAAGCAATTACAGTACTTGAGATGGATCATCCTATTGTTGAATTTCTAACTTTATGTGAAACACCCTACCCAAATGGTAAGTAATTAAAATGAAAATATTGATGTTGACAATAATTTTGAAATAAGTTCCTAACAAAATTAAGCTTAAATATTTTTAGTTTTGGCAGCTGGCATCCTCTGTGGTACAACACTGAGCTACAGGTTGTGTGAGGAGCAAGTTCTGCAACTGTACCTACTTGAAAAACTGGAAGTAAGACAGACGTAGTGCAGCAGTGCTGGAGTTACAGGTTCTAATATCAGGTAAGTGCTTTAAACTTTGATAAGGATGGTGGAAGCTGAGCTGGGAGGGTCTGATAGGGGTCCAGGGTAAAATACTTGGGGGAAAAATGGGGTCTCCTACTAGTCTCTCCTAGACCAGCTCCACCCATCCCATTCCAAAGCCAATCAAAGTTAAAGCACTTACCTGCTATCAGTGATCTCCAATTCTGGTGGTGCTGTTTCTATTTCACATCTGTCTTTGCTTCAGATGCTACTGCAGCGCTTCTGATTATTCTAGGATTGCTGATGTGTGGTTAATTTTGGTTGAAAATAATTAATCAGAAGGCCCTTTGGGAGGAGAGATACTTATTTTTATCACCCTAAATATAAAGGCTTTGTCTAAACATAAAAAGCAATCTAAACTTATAGGCAAATTATATAGTGGAGTCTAATGATGAAGTATTTTAATAATGAAATTAAAAATTTATGAGTGAAACATAAAAAGGGAAATAAGAACTCTTGATTAAAACAAGGTAGTATGTATATACATTGCTCCATTTTCAAGAGGGAACATACAGATATAGAGGAAAGACATCTGGACTTGGAGATAGAATATTTGAATTTAAGATTACTCTGCCATTTACTAGCTATGTGACTTTAGGCAAGGTCACATAGCCATTAAATATGGTATTTTGTATCATAAACTGATACAAAATAACATGGTACTTTATTTCTACAGTGTTGGAGACAATTAACCTTTGTTATTTATTAATCAATGAATACTAGACACTTCTATGGCCTCAATATTCTAAGGACTTACTGAGATGATCTATGAAACTCACCTATGATGTCAAATCACATAAAATCTGGTCAGAGGAGGTACCTTAAACTTATGGCTTGAGTTTAAATAATGTATTAATTTATATATAGTCTAGTTAAGATAGTTGATGACTGAAATATTCATACAAAGCTCCATGGAAACAGTAGGATTTAGAAAGATCTTGAGGAAGGACTTGGACCTTGAAAAGGATATTGAGTAAAGTTTTTAAAGTTGTGAGATTTTTCTCGAGACGATCTTGAAAGTCATTTGGGGGTATTTAGAAATAGGGAGCTGTAGAAGACTTTTGAGGAAATTTTAAGTTAGATGGAAGCAGTGTTTTTAACAAGATTTGTGCCAAAGGAGATTCCCTGAGGTCTAAAATTCCAGATCCCAACTGGGAGGTTTTTTGTGGTGATGTGCGTTTAAACAGACTTGAGAATGCTGACTGTAGGAATGCAAAGAGGAAAACCTGCTGGATTTGCCCTTTAATAGTGGTTTTATATGTGGTATTAACAGTTTTTAGATAGGGAGAAAAATAAATCTGTGATTAATAGTAGGTAGAATTGTTTAGAGAATGGAAAAAGGAGGGAAAGTGGTCTTTAATATTTACAAATCATCATATATAGATTTTTTCCAAGTTATAACAAAGAATAAGGGAGCAAATGAAGAAAGAACAGTGGATGAAAAGCTAAATTTAAGAAAATCCCTCCTATTAAATAATCTAGTAAAAGTTAGATATACATCCCATTAATCATATTTGAAAGTTTATGGCTGAAAAGATCAAATACAGTGTGTATGCATAAATTTCTGCATAACAGTAGAAAATTAGAGCAAATTCTAACATTAAATCATGAACATACTATAATCAAATCTAATAATTTCCAAGCCACATTATGTGTCTGTTTTTCACACAAGTGGTAATAAGGATGGGGTCTTTGATTTATCACGAATTAAGAGAAATAGGTTTACTTTACTCAGTTAAATGTATTTTATTGACTATTTCTAATTAAAGCAACAGTACATGAAACTGCTGGAAAAGAACCCTCCAATACACAATAGCAAATACTTAACTTCTTATGTAATCTATGCATATGTGTACTTATTTATGAATGTGTATATTATCTTTCTTCTACAAATGGCTACATATTATCTATAATATTCTTTATCATGCTTTTCTACATAACAGTATATTTTGATTATGATTCCATATTAGCAAATAAGGAACTTCAGTTTTCTTTACAGAGGCATTGTGATAAATTATAATTTTGCATACTACATATTTTAAAGAAAACAAATTTAATTTTTAATATTGTTTCATCATTGTGACAGCTGACAGTTCAACCCACTTTCAAAGAATACAACTGGCTTAATGCTCTTATCTCAGGGGCTGTTGCCCACAGTAACTACTTGACTATGTTCAGAATTTGTATTTTACATCTAATTTAACTGTACCTGGTCCTCTCCAAGCTTCATAAATAATGCATTTCTCTCAGTGAAAGTTATAGCAGAAATTTTTACCTCATTGGGGAGTAGGGTTAAATAAAGACAAACTACTCAAAAAGAAAACAGTTAACAAAGGTTGTAATATTACAAGTTTGGGACCCCAATAGATATGCTTTGCACATATAATCTGTGTAAAAAAACTAGTAACTATTTTGCCATTTCAATGGGTCAAGAAACTGGAGATCAAAAGATTTAGTTTACCCAACATTAAACTGTTAATAAATAATAAACACAGAATTTAATGCTGACACCTTTTTATCCAGTGGTTACTACAGTACATAAAATATTTTTGCTACCAATTTTTATTTGAAAAGAAGCAACAATAATCTCAAACAGGTATAACTTCCAAAATGATCATTTACTTATGACTTATTTATTGATGCAAAATTTTTCAACTATTGTATTTTTTTGTAGCAATTAATTTAAAACCAATGATTTTCCTTAAGAGGCAAGAAAAGACAAAAAGGAAAGTAGTACAGAACCCCAGTGTTCTTCAAACCGAAAAACAAACTAAAAGCTCAGATGTTTTGGATCAACGTTGAAAAACTTAAAACAGAGCCAAGAGATAGGAGAAGAGGGAAAAAACTCAGTTTGAGATTAGTTTTCATAGCAAACAGTTTGAAGGGCTGCATGTTGTTACACAGACGTACACCCAAACAAGCATCAGGGTTTTCTTTTTTTCACTTTTTCTCTCATAACTTATAAATATGAATAGACTCTATAGCTTCTCAGTACTGGTAGCACTGTGAAGAACATCAATTCCAATTTCCCAACCAAGACTTGAGTTACTCTGAACAAAATTCATGCCAAGTGAGTGTTAAGGATTAGATACTTCTTAAACTAGACAGTAGAAACTGCTGGAACAATGAAAACAAAATGGAATTGAGTCAGAAAACCTGGCTTAATATTTCCTCTATGAAATGAGAATAGCAATTTCATTGTGGATTTCCCTTATGAGTTTTTATTGTCGGTGTTCGCTCTGATCATTATAACAAAATTAGTATTGCCTCTCAACCACAAGTCATTTTTTTTATACCATTACCCTTTTGTTTCTGCCATACCTCAGATTACTTTCTAAATTAATCACACTTGTTTAATTGGTAGTAGTATGTATACATCTCTAAAATGTTAGCTCCATGAGAACAAGGATCTTATCAATCTTATTCTCCATATGTCCTTTGTTCTTAAAAGAGTTTCTGGAACACATTGAAAGAATGAAGAGAAAGGAGGGAGAAAGGAAGAAAAGGGCATAGGTAGGCTATTTTTCAGGACCAGGTTATGTCATACTAAATTGAAAATAAATTTGTTAGTGTGGCTCTTATAGGGGGAAGAATATTTGTTTAGTGTATCTCCTTGTACACATGAAATCGGAACTAAAGTGTAAGTTTAAAGAGAATAAGATGGAGGGTGACAGGCTCACTTTCCTCAATCTGCTATCACCAACTCATGCTGATTGAACTATTTTAACTCTGCTATACAACCTCTCATTCATTACTTTCAACTCATATTTTTGTCTTCTCAGATCATTTAAATGACATAATAGGTGATAAAGAAAATATAAATTTGGTGTTTTTATAAAATGTTCAATATGAAAATTTTCCCATTTTTTTCTTTTTTACTTGTAGAATTTCAAGAACCCTATGCTGTTGTTGTACTTCTGGAGAAAGATCTCATTGTAGTTGATCTGACTCAAAGCAAGTAAGTTATTCATGTATAGATTAACAGTATTGCAAAACTTTAGTCAATGCAATTAAAATATAGGAGGATTATAGATAATTGGTAATATTGTTTTGTTAGAATTATAGAAGAGTAATTTAGTTCAGTAAGGAAAACTAAACCAAGAGAATCTAGGGAACACTGAAAGATTTTAAAGGTAATACCTGATGCATTTGGAGAGTCAGGACACAAAAAAAGGATCACATTTCCTTATGCAAATGCAATTATTATGCAAACTTCTATAGTATACTATCTGATCATCTGCTACCCTACTGAATAAAGGAAGATGGCACACAATAAAAGTATTATTGAACTACTGCAGCAGACAATACAAAACATCAAAATCTGTACTGATGGACATCATCTCTGTTCTCAAGTTTAATAGGAAATGATCTTTAAAACATAATCACACACACATTTTTCAATCATTCCTGCAAAAAACTTGCCTAAATATTACCTCCCTTGGGAAAGCATGTCAAAATTTACTAAAATATTTTAATACTTGTAAGTTAAGTAATTAGATAAAAATCTTATAAGTATCTAGTTGAGTGTTTTAATGAACAGTGATAAGTCAAATTGCTGCATATTTTCAGTTCAAAATATTGTGTTACTGTGGAGTTTTTGAATTACAGAAAAGAAACTGAATTTATTCACTTAAAATTCTACCAGTATAAGTGTTTTGATCTGTTTTATGCTGCTTAAAATTTTATGAAAGTTACTTTTTTCATTGTAAAATGCTACATATTCATTTTTTAGTTTTCCAATCTTTGAAAATCCATATCCCATGGACATTCATGAGTCACCAGTTACGTGTACAGCATATTTTGCCGATTGCCCGCCTGATTTGATTCTAGTACTCTACTCTACAGGAGTCAAGCATAAAAAACAAGGATACAGTAATAAGGTACAATCATAAAAATAAGCTTTCTTATATGATCACACGATAAGGATATAAATATATTTCCCTTTTTCTTTCTCACTTGAATGAAATCCCTTTGAAGTCATAACCAGCCATCTATAGAAGACAACTTTTGAAATTCAAATTTCCTAAATGTTATATAGTATATATATTTGTACATGTGTGTAGATGTACATGATAGGTAAGTATATATTTAAACTAGCATGTATTTGTATCACAAGATATGCCTTTTAATTGTTTTAAATGATTATGTTTTGAGAAATTCAAAATAGTGTACTCTAGTTAACCACCTCTTCCCAGTCAATGGTTAACAAGATAATTATCAAAATTTATTTCTTTAAATTACTTCATAGAATTACATTGTTTAGAGTTACATATAATTGTAAAATACTTAACAATTGCAGGCCACCTATTATGATTTCTATTACTTTCACAGAACTGTTAGGATAGACAGCATTAGGGGTCATGATTTACATTATATTTTATATTAAATGGCACTAAGTTGTTTGACAGTAGGCAGACAATATGTGTTGTAAATGTATCAACACTATATGATTAAAATATTGAGATTTTATATTAACAGTAATACTGGTTAAAATCTATATTTTTAAAGGACATAGAACCATGCATTTGGAAGCTTTTGTTTAATGAAAAGATTAGAATATAGCTAAGTATGTCATTCCTGATTGTTTCAAAATATAAATTTTAATATTCTTCTTGGATAATCTAGGTGTGGCCTATCAGTGGAGGAGCTTGGAACCTTGGCACACAAACATATCCAGAAATTATTATTACTGGGTAAGTGGGGTGTGATTTATGAGTTTATCAATTCATCAACCTAAATATTTCATTGAATTTTTACACATTCCCATAATTGTATTCTAGGCAGACTAATAGTATGGGTGAGAGAAAAAAGATATGGCTTCTATATATAAATATGAAAGACAGAATCACACCATTGAAAACAGACATATAACATCAATCTGAAACACAGTTTATCAACTTCCCCACAAGGGGATATCAGAAAAGGCTACATAGATAGCTGGGAGGTGGATCCCACCATGGTAGATGGATATGAAACCCATCACTTGTGGTGTCTAATAAGTTCATGTGGAAAAACAATTCCCACCACTGTCCAGCAGTGATGAAGAGTCATACATTCTCCCCCTTATGGTACAAGGATAACAATAGACTGTACTCCTATAAGGAATAGGTTATGGGAGGAGTTAACATTTGTGAATAAAATTTTGTAAGGCACCCACTTATGGTGAAGAATCTAGAAATCCATAAGCATGCCCAGCAGTGGACACATACTGAGAAGACCCTAAGATTTCCCTCATGGATGAAGTTTAAGCACTTTGCTAAAAGTCTGACTTGGAAATAACCTGCCTAAGTACTGAAGCAATTCCCTAACATGTAATTAATTTACAAAGGCCAGGAAAAGGGTTGTTATTTTTGGTTGGCTACAAGGAGATCACTGCCAAATCATTAATTGGTAACTTAATGGAATACAATCTTAATAGTTTAGAAAATTTACTAAATAAAAACACACAAGCATTAACAGGGAAACTTGTGAAGGGGGAGAGTATGTGAAGAGGGAGAGTATAATTATCACAATTTCCACATTATAATAATCAAAAGTCCAATTTTCAATAGCAATAAAATACAAGGCATACAGAGAAACAAGTAAATGTGGCTCATCTGAGGGAAAAAGGAATTAGTTGAAATTATCCCTAAGACTGCCAAGACTTTGAATCAATTTACTATTACTATTCCAAGGCTATGAATCAATTGTCTTGAAAAATGCGCAAAGAACTGAAAGTAATCGAGTAAAGGGCATCACAATAAAATGAGAATAAAGAGACAGATATTAAAAAGAATTAAAATAGAAATATGGAGCTAATAGTACAGTAACAGAAATGAAAACCTCATAAGGATTTGGCCACAGACGTAAGCAGGCAAAAGAGTAAGTGCATTTGAAGATAGTTCAATGGAGATGATTCTGTCTGAGGGGCAAAAGGAACAAATAGACCCCAAGAGACCTGTGGGACACCACCAGTCTTAACAAAATACACATAATGGATGTCTCAGAAGAAGCAGAAAAAAAATATTTGCAGAAATGTATGAAAACATCCCCCAATTTGATGAAAATTATGACCTGAAAAACAAAAGGAAGAGCTGATATAGAGTATTTCCAATAGGCTCTTTTTTAATTTTATATTTAATGTTCTATATTTTTTTACATTATTTTTGCACAATGTATGCATTTTCTTCCTGGATGTAGTCCCCACACAATTCCCACCCCTGAGTGTCTCTGGTTTATAGTTGCTTGTTGATTTTGATTTTTACTTTATTATAATTAGTCTTTTTCCTGGTCTCTTATTTAGGTTTTCTAAATTCCTGCTATGAGTGAGACCATCTGGTATTTTTCTTTTTCTTTCTAGCTTATTTCACTGAGCATGATCCCTTCCAGCTCTATCCATGTTGCTGCAAATGGCATGAGTTTATCTTTTTTGATTGCTGAGTAATATTCCATTGTGTATATATACCTCATAAGATTATAACAGTCAATTTCTCATATAAAACCATGAGGACAGAGGCAGTGGGATGACAAATTTAAAGTGCTGAAAGAAAAACATATTAAAGGATTTATCCAACAAAACACTATTCTTCAAAACTGAAGGAGAACCTGAAACATTTCCAGATTAAAAAAAAAAGATTAGGAAATTATTTTTAGTAGGCCCAATTTATCAAAAATAGTAATGGGCATAGGTAAAGGTGAAATGGAAAGACAGTAGCTTGAATCCATATGAAGAAAAAAAAACAGTGAATGTAACTACATGGGTGATAGTAAAATCAATATTATTTTACTTTTGGCTTATAACTGACTGAAAAAATACATGAAACAATAATTATAAATTTTGGGGATTAAGTACTATACTGGAACAGAGTTTCAGTATTATTTCAAACTAGAATGTTACAAATTTAAGAGACTAATTTTAATGCCTAGGGTTACCACTGACAAAAAATTAAAATATGTAGAAAAGGAAACAAGATGGGAAGCAAATTGTTAAAAAAAAAATAAGTCATAAAAGAAGAAAGTAGTGGAGGAACTGGGGACCAAAAAAGATATGACAAAGAAAATAAAGTCTTTACTTTTCAGTACTTTCACTAAATGTAATAACTTTTGTAATTAAAAAGCAGAGATTGACAATGGATAAAAATACATGATCTAACTTTTTTCTCTAGGACTCACTTTAGATACAAAGACACAGATATGTTGAAAGTGAAGGGATGGAAGAAGATATTGCATGCAAATTATAAAAAAAAGTGGAGTAGTTATATTAATTTTTGACAAAATAGACATTAAGTCTAAAGTTATTATGACAATAAATTATAAGGGATGGAAGAAGATATTGCATGCAAATTATAAAAAAAAGTGGAGTAGTTATATTAATTTTTGACAAAATAGACATTAAGTCTAAAGTTATTATGACAATAAATTATGTATTGATAAAAATGTCAAATAAAAAACATGTAAGAATTATATACATGTAACAACAGAATCTTGTGATTACAATATGGTGTTTGACTCTTTTAAACATTTAGCTGATCTTACATTCCTGAGATAAAACCAACTTATTCATGTGTATTCCTTTCTATATATTACTTGATAATATCTGCTAATAGTATTGACAATTTTTATGCCTATATTTGACTGTATTTGATTTGTATTTTCTTTTCATGTAATATTTTGTACTGGTTTTAATGTCAGGATATAGCTAATCCCACAAAATGTGCTGGGAAGTAGCTATCCTCTGTTTTCCAGATGAGTTCTTAAAGACTTGCCAATTTTCAGTGTTCTCTATCTCACATAAAATCTTCATACAGTAAAATCAAAGTAATTATTTTTCTTTTGCATATTGTTTAAAAAATAAAACCAGTGTTTTCAATTTGCAAGTAGTTTAGTATATAACGCTTTCAGTGGAATGATATTTTTGAACCAAACTTTAACAGTAACTCATTTTCATACATTTAGAATTATATTAACTTTGTATATTTTAATTAATGCTGATTTATTTCTCATCTAGTCATGCAGATGGATCAATAAAATTTTGGGATGCTTCTGCAAGTAAGTTTTTTTAAGTTTCTCTTCTGTAACAAAAAACACTTGGTTAATAATCATTCACTTACCACTATTTAGTTTGGACAATTAACATTTCAGATAGACTTTTAGCATACATATAAGGCTATATTACAAGAATCTACTCTTAGATAAATTTAAAGTTATGTCTTATGTCTATTATATTTCTATAATATAAACAAGAACATAAACCACTCTATTAGTAACCTATGAGAGGCAAGTTACATTAGAAAATGTACTAGACTTTGTCAGATTAACTCTGTTCAACAATTTTCTTTCACTCCACTTTGTGGTCTTAGAAAAGTACTTATGTCTCACTTGTCTTCACTATTCTTCTCCACTTGCCTACCAAGTCTTGTGAGAATAAAAAGGGAAAATTTGATAAATTACATAAATTTTAAGAATTTAAAAAGGAGTTGTACATTAAGGAATAAATAGGCATTCTGCTCAATGCTGAAGGTCATGCAGAGATATTTAAGACTTGACTGTACCCATACATCCTCTTCAGAAGATAGTCATAGAGAAGATAAAGGAGAACATGTATATAACTACAGGGAAAACAATGTAAGAACCCTAAATGTATTTAGTTTTTTGGGTTTTGTTATCAGAAATGGGGGGTTTATTTGAACCAGTCAGATCAAGGAAGGATATTTTAATGGGGAACATTTAATGTGAGGTTTGGAAGATTTTGACAATCAGGAAAATCAGCAATGGCTTCAGGTTTCTGAGGATGAATAATCAGTAAAATATAAATACAAGGACGTTTTAGAGGTTTGGATTTCATAATAGCACTGGGAAATACAAGTAAAAATATCCAGCAGAAATGTCCAGCAGGTAGGGTGACCAGTCAAGAATGGAAATAAAATGGAATGGAAAGTGGCTGGTGGAAAATAAATTATATGCTTTACATACATAAAATATTTCATATTCAATAAAAATGATAACTGTGCCAATTAGATTATATTTAAATAATTTGAAATGAATGTCACAGGAAATTTTATCTTCAAAATACAAAAAGGAAATCCTTTACTTGGTAATCATTAATTGGTAATAACAATGCACTTTTTGAAAGAATTCCCAAATTTTCCTCTTGATTCGTCTGTAGAATCAGAGCTTTTCTATAAGGGAGTTATATATAGGATATAAACACACAGATAATCCTTCTTAGAAGGATTAAACCCTCTAAAAATACCACAAAGCTCATCTAGCAAGTCAAGAGGAAAATCATGAAAAATGAGAGGTCTCCCTTAGGAGGTTCAGTATTTCCACTGAAAACTTTCTGATCCCCAGTGTTTTTATCAATAGCTGAAGATAAAAATATTTAGTTCATGGGACTTTACTAAGGATAACATGAGGCAAGCAAGCATACAAAGGACCTACATATTCCTTGGGTATATAGTATATGTTTAATAGATGTTTTTTTCCCCTATAATCTCCCTCCAGCTAATCTCCCTCCAGCTAAACTGTACTGATATGAAAAAGTATGTAAAAATTAAATCTAAATTAGAAGATAACTATTTTCAATGTCTTGTAGTAACTCTGCAGATGTTGTACAAGCTAAAAACTTCAAAAGTGTTTGAAAAACAGAAGGTAGGAGAAGGAAAACAAACATGTGAAATTGTAGAGGAAGATCCATATGCCATTCAGATGATTTACTGGTGTCCGGAGAGCAGAATATTCTGTGTATCAGGAGTCTCTGCATATGTGATAATTTACAAATTCAGCAGACATGAAATTACAACAGAAATAGTGGTAAGTCTTTTAAAATTTAACTTTCACAATTATTAAAAAAAAGCAATCAAGTCATCCAGACTGCTGTGTGTGGGCAGTAATTTTTTAATTATCCTTGATACCTGGTATTATATTAAAAAGTTTGACTTAAAATGATGAAAGTAGTTCTCTGTCAAAATTTAGTATTAAGTAGATGGGATAATGCCTATAGGTTTTACAGTTACTGATGTATGGATAAATGTCAAATTAATAGTTTTGTTCAATAAGATTTGCTTTAATGATTTTTTATAGCAACATTTTTATAGGGTGGGAATAATTATAGGGCTGCCTTACCTAATCTTACTTTTTCAACTAATGAAATAATCTATTCAAAATAATGAAACTTATGGGATAAGTTAAATGCAAATAAAAGCATGTTTAGATAATGGACCTTTCTCTACCCAGTCCATTTTACTATGGTGTCAGAAAATTAAGATTATCTACTAAAAGTAACTGTTCTACAGCAACAACTAAAATTCTTATCCTCTTAAAGTATATTATTTAAAACCCCAGGCTTGGGCCTCCCCTGGTGGCGCAGGCAGTTGAGCGCAGCGCTGGTTCGATCCTTGCCTGCGGAAGAGGGTCCCACATGGCGCGGCAGACCTCGCCTGTCTCGCCTGCTGTTCCCCTCAGCAGTGTATTTCATCAGTCTGCCTGTTCTGTTCACTGCTCTGTCTCTGGTGAATCCTCTCACCCTCCCGAGCATCTGGCCTGTACCCTGGTTCTTGTATAAAATAAATAAATAAATCTTTAAAAAATAGCAGTATAGGAAGTTTCTGGGTTCACCTTTTCCCACAGACATGCTAAACATGCAGCGATATATGGAACAACTCTCCCTGAAAAAATCTAAGGACAAGCTAAACAACTTCTTAACAAGGGACTACACCAAAAATGGATAGGAGAGGTGGAGACATGGTCTCACCAAGAAATGGGCAGAAGAACTTAAAAGAAATTTCTCCAAAGAGGAAATGGAAATGGCCAACGGGCATGTGAAAAAATGTTCATCCCTTATAATCAGGGAAATGCAAATCAAAACCACATTGAGATACCACCTTACACCAGTAAGAATGGCACATATCAAAAAAACAACAACAAATGTTGGCGAGGATGTGGTGAAAAAGGAACTCTCCTACATTGCTGGTGGGAGTGCAAACTGGTCCTACCACTATGGAAAGCTGTCTAGAGGTTCCTCAGTCTACTAAGAATGGAGCTACCATATGACTCATCAATTCCATTCCTAGGGATCTACCCAAAGGACACAAAAACAGTGATTCAAAAGACCACCTGTACCCCCATGTTTATGGCAGCACTATTTACAATAGGTAAAACCTGGAAAGAACCCAAATGCCCAAAAATAGATGACTGGCTCAAGAACATGTGGTATATATACACAATGGAATATTATTCAGCAATCAAAAAAGATAAAATCATGCCATTCTTTGCAAAATGGATGGAGCTAGAAGGAATTATGCTCAGTGAAAAAGCAAACTATTGGATGGTTTCATTTCCAGGAATATAGGGAACCCAATAAGACATCTGAGTAAAAAAATAATAACAGTACAAAATACAACAAAGCAAAAATGGACAATTATAAATCAGAGACATCCTGCAGGGGAGGAGCCAGGAGAGGGAGGGAGGAGCACAGGGGACTGAGGTGATGGTGCACGGGTGCATTGGTGAAGGAAACTCTATGGGGACTACACCTGAGGGAGTGAGGGGCAGCAAATATTGTTTAAAGATGAACAAAGATGTAAAAAAAAATTAAAAACCTAGCAACCCAAGAGACCATGAAGAATGTAGAGTTAGCACTTAAAAGACAAGCATGCAGACTCACTTACCCTGGGACTCAGGCCAAAACTAGCAATTTGAAAAGCACCTAAGTCATAAATGAAGGCACTCATTAACTAATCTTAAAGCATTTGCCAGGGGACAAGAGTCTCTCTCTCTGGAGACAGAGGAATTTTTGCATTTGTATTGTACTAGAGCCAGAGCTGAAGAGAAATTTAATACTCCCTCCATATTTCTAGACTCAATGGACTCAGTACCCCATCCCAGTCTGTACCAGACCACCATGCACCCATCCTCCCCATCTCCTCAAGAACAACAGTAGCTCTCAAACAGACTGGGGATGCTATCTTTGCATCTTACCTTTGACATTGCTACAGCTTACTGGTACCTAAAACTTTCCTTTCTTGAAGGCACCAGGACACTTATTATTGCCACTATTCCCAAAGGACATCTCCATATCACTGGAAGCCAGCAGGGTTTATAAATTCATCCCCACAGGACTATATACATTGGCATAGTTTTAAAAGCTAATACCTGAGGATCTGGCCTCCAATCGAGTAGAGATTAAAGTTTAAATAAAGAACTAATAGATTCAGAATATGTAGAACTCAATAAATTCAATGAAAAGTACTTTAGAGCAATACAGAAACATAATGGGTCTAATAAAGAACAAATCAGTGAGCTCTAACATAGAAACCTGGAAATACCAGAGGGCAGAAGAGAAAGAAAATGCAAAAATTGAAGAAATGCTATGAGAGTTATCTTACTCCATTAGGAGTGGTATCATAAGGATAATGTGTATCCCAGAAGGTGAAGAGAGGGAGAAGGAAACAGAGCTTATGCAAAAAATAACTGAAAACTTCCAAAACTGGGGTAGAAACAATTCACAAGTAAATGAAACGAACAGAACACCAGCTTATCTGAATGCTAAGATACCTATGCCAAGATGCATATTGGTGACACCATGAAGAGTTCAAGACAAAAAGAATATCAAAGGCAGTTTGAGATATGAGAAAGAATTAAAGGCATTTCCAGACAAACAAAAACTGAGGGAATTCACCACTAATGGACTTCCTTTAAAGAAATGTTGAAAGGAGCTCTTCTATCAAAAGAAAGTTCACAAAAGACAAAATGGCAGTAGCCAGTCCTCGATATATCAATAATCACCATAAATTTAAATGAATTAAACTCACTAATCAAAAGGTACAGAGTAACTGGATAGATTAAAACAAAACAAAAACTATCTCAATTATGAAAGACTCACTTAAGCTATAAAGACAAATAGTTAAAGTGAAGGGCTTAAGAAATGGTACTCAAGTCAATAGAAAACTTTTACAAAGCAGGATCCACTATATTCACACCAGTAAAATAGATTTCTAGCTAAAAAAAAGTAATGAGGCAAATGGATATTATATAGGGGAGGACATTGTACTTATTAATAAATATGCACCCACCATAATAGCAATGTAATATATAAAAGCAACTATTAACAGACCTAAGGGAGACTGACACAACCCAATATTGGAAGGGGATATTAATGTCACTTTTATTACAATAAATAGAATACTGAAAGAAAAGCAAAAAAAGATGCAGTGACATTAAATGACAAATTAGATGTGATGGACTTAATATTTATAAAAACATTTTACCAGAGTACACAAGTGTACAGAATTCAAGCACACACAGGATATCTCAAAGATAGATCACTCTGTGTGGACTACAGAGAGACAAAAAGGAACTGACCAAACTAAACCAAAAGCCTAGATTTTTTTTTCTTTTTTTTAAATAATAAATTTTATTGTTATATTCCCCATACAATTGCAGCCCCCCCAATCCCGCCCCCGCCCCCCTAAAAGTGTCTCTGGTTCATAGTTTTTTGTTGATTTTGATTTTCACTTTCTTAAAGTTATTCATTTTCCTGGTCCCTTATTTAAGTTTTCTAGATTCCTGTTATGAGTGAGACCATCCGGTATTTTTCTTTTTCTTTTTGGCTTATTTCGCTGAGCATGATCCCTTCCAGCGCCATCCATGTTGCTGCAAATTGCATGTGTTTATCTTTTTTGAATGCTGAGTAATATTCCATGGTATATATGTACCACATCTTCTTGATCCAGTCATCTATTTTTGGGCATTTGGGTTGTTTCCAAAGAAAAGCCTAGATTTTAATTCTAGCTGTATCAGTGAAACATTTGTGATTCTGAGTATGTCAGATGTCTCCATTAGTAAGAAAAGTCAGGTAAGATTTACTTTCATCACCTACATAATTTTCTGTGTAAATAAAATTGAAAGTAATAATAAAGTTGAAATAATGATGGCAATTTCATAGTTTTACAGGTAATTATATAATTTATTAGCAGTGTCTAAAGAGTCTAACAGTGTCTAACGTAGCTTATTCTCAATGCTTGGTATTGTTACTGTCACTAGAAGTTTTTGTATTTTTGAGATAACTGATTATATTTTTGTTAGCTATTGATTTTACCCTCAAAAATAATTCTACAGGGGGCTTCCCTGGTGGCACAAGGGGTTAAAGTCTCAGCACTATCAAGCAACTGCCAGCTGCGACAGCATGAGTTCATTCCTGGCCAGGCATCTAACCCACATGGCACAGCAGACCTCTCCTGTCTTGCCCACTGCCCCCACTTAGCAGTGTATTTCAGTAGATCTGCCTGTTCCACTTCCAATTCTGCCTCTGGCCTACACCCCAGTTCTCGTATGCATAAAGAACTCTTTAAAAAAATATTCTACGGTATAAAGAAAATGATTATCTTATAAGATTAATTTTAAAGCATTGTATGCAATCATAATAAACTAAATTTGAATTGCCTGTCTATTTCAGTGTAATTTACTGTTTTTCATTAGGTAACACTCACCAAACTCATGAAATTAAACAAAACACAAATGGTTGCAACAAAGAAAAATGTAGTTAATCTTTGAAAATTTTCACTAAACTAATTCACAGTCAAAATGGAATTTTTTGAAGCCTCCTACAAATAAAAATTTGTATGTTTAGATACAAACATGCCCAGTTTAATTTCTCTCATTGGAGTACCATCACCGGTTTTTTCTCTTACTTTACTCTGTATGGGATTTTATCAATAGTTTACACGTTAGGGAATATTTATTATACAAAAAGTTTACCTCTACTGATATTTTTGTTGTAATTCTAAAGTTAAATATTTTACATATTTTGTGAATGCCATTGAATATTCCATGTTATTTACTATTTAAGTCAGTTTGGGGTATTCAGCTTTACTATAAATTGAACTTATTAATATGAAAACAATGAATAATTTCTAAAATCATCAGGTATTTTAATGTGACTTTATGATCAATTAACTGGATTTTTTTTAAGTCATTAGAGGTACGACTTCAGTATGATGTTGAAGATATTATTACCCCGGAACCAGAAACAAGCCCTCCATTTCCAGATCTCTCATCCCAGCTTCCTTCTTCAAGGAGCCTTTCTGGAAGTACTAACACTGTGGCCAGTGAAGGAATAACAAAGGACAGTATTCCTTGCCTCAAGTAAGATCTGTCACCAAATTTAAAACAATTTTATATATTAATATAATTCTTTGAAACTGTGTCATTGTCGATCATGCCTCTGTCTTAGCCTTGTCCAGTGATCTACCAAGGGATACTTTGATCTTTCATGAAACAGTCATGAATAGGACACAATATTTTCATTCTTCACTTACTAATTCCTTTATTTCCTATCATAAGGACCCTAAAGAAAACATAGTTTTGACAGAATGGGAAAATGTTTGGCAGGGCAGTAACTTAGCGACTTCTGTGGTATTTCACAATTGAAAAAGTATGTTAGGGCATTTTCAAAAAGAAAACCAAATTCACTGTATATTACAAGAATATAATGTTACAACAAGGGTTTCTCAGATGATTGCTAGAATACTGTATATTTCTTTAAACTGATACTATTTGGTAATAAATTATGTCTCAATATATATACACATGTTTTAGTTTCACAATCAAATAAAATTTAATAAAGACCATAATATTTATCTTAATTGTTTATATGCTTTAGAAATAGGGTATAAAAGAATGTACTTTCCTTAAAGTACTGCTTACTGCTTCTACATTGTCACATCAGTTTTCAGTTTTAGCTAGTTGGAGGATTATTCTGAGTAAGGAATTTCTGAGTCCAATAAGAAATCTGAATCTGCTACCCGAGAGAACTCCAGAGAAAACATTTCCTTATTTCTTATCTTTAAACTCTCCGGTATTTCATAAGAGTGTAGGAGATGCTCTTTGGAATTAATGTTTCTATGTCCTTTGGGTAAATACGTAGGAGTGGAATTGCTGGATCATATGGAAGCTCTATCTTTAGTAGGCTGAGGAATCTCCACACAGCTTTCCATAGTGGTTGGACCAGTTTGCACTCCCATCAGCAGTGCAGGAGAGTTCCTTTTTCCTCGACATCCTCGCCAACATTTGTTGTTGCTAGTTTTTTTAATATGTGCCATTCTCACTGGTGTAAGATGGTATCTCAGATTGTTTATAGCAGCACTATTTACAATAGCTAAGCTTTGGAAACAACCCAAATGCCCAAAAATAGATGACTGGATCAAGAAAATGTGGTACATACACACAATGGAATATTATTCAGCAATCAAATACGATAAACACATATAATTTGCAGCAACATGGATGGAGCTGGAAGGGATCATGCTCAGCGAAATAAGCCAGAAAGAAAAAGAAAAATACCAGATGGTCTCACTCATAGCAGGAATCTAGAAAACCTAAATAAGGGAGTTGCAATTGTATGGGGAATATAAAAATTAAAAAAAGTGTAGGAGAAAAATTAGTTTACCACCAATTAGCAGTTATAATCTTTATAATTGATTTCCTCCCACAAAATATAAGTGGGTATTATTGGGAGAAACATTTTTGAACATTATCACAAAATGTTAGCAAATGGGAAACTATCATAATGCTAAAATTTTACATATTTAATTGATTTCTATTAAAAGGAAAATCAGAAAGTGAACAAAATGCCCAAGAAAGCACGGCATATTGATTTATTAAATCAAAGACCTATCTGATAAAGTTTGGATCTCTAATGACCTAGATATTTTTCTATAATTTTTTTTAAAAAGGGATGAGAGGAGAAAATAGTAAAGTCAAAAATTGGATAGATAGTAGAGATGAAGTAAAAAGTAACAAGCTAATAAAAGCATTTAATATTTACAATTGTATATTTAGTATAAGCTCTGAGGAGCCAAACAGCAGGATGAGCTAAGTATGTTATTCTGTGAATTACATTATACAATTGGTTTTTGAGTTGGCTATCATCCGTGCTTTGTTAAATTTCATGTTGGTATCCATTTCTAAATCTTTTTTTTTTCCTGCTGGATTTAGGTTCTCATATATATTGGTTGATAAATAACCATCTCAACTAGCCAACTGTTTATTTTTGTCAATATTATAATTCTTACAAATATACACATTTGTGTAATTTGGGCTCTGTGGTTTCAAGGTAAGAGCAGGAACAAGTTTGGAATATCTTGAACTCTTAGGTAATAGATTAATGGTCATCATTTTTATTGTTGTGCATTAAAACTGCTATGGATTTAACAAATGTTATGTGAGGAAAAAAACAATACAAATAAAATATTGTACTTAAAAGTAAAAAGAGAATTGTTAAAGGTGAATTGAAGTTGTGAATATGACTGACTAAAAAGCTACTTAAAGAAAAAATGAAGCAATCACAAGTGCCTTGGTATGCTTTGAGAAAGCTAGAGGACGCTGTCAACCTGTATATTGTCCTCAAAGATGGATATTGTGTATTTATGTAGGAAGATTCTAGGTAAAATCAGAAGATAAGCATGAGCATACTTATTTAAACTGTATGATACGGAATTGCTTTTTCTTTTTCTCTAGTGTTAAGACTCGACCAGTGCGGATGCCTCCAGGCTATCAAGCAGAACTCGTGATTCAATTGGTGTGGGTAGATGGTGAACCTCCCCAACAGATTACTAGTCTTGCTGTAAGCTCAGCATATGGAATGTAAGTAAAGTGTTCTTTCTAACTTGTATTATTTTTCTAATATATTTGATAGATGCCCTTAAAATGAAAAATACTTACTTGGATTTTTATTAATTGAACACAGCCATAATTTACATTTAAATTATTTTTCTTATACTATTTGCTCTCTCCCAGTGTCAAACTTGTTTTCAGTATTTCCACTTTTAATTTTATAAGGCTTTTGGGGTTTTCACACTTAAACTTTTTGTTTTTGTCTTTTCTATCCTTTTCCTCCTTGTATTTCATTTGAATACCTTCTTCCGAAGATGTGTATGTATATTTTACTTTATGGTTACCGTAAGTTTTAGACACAAGATTTATGAAACTATCAATCTTTTTTCAGTTGGTAGCTACTTATATTTTACTACCTTTCAAAACTACTTTAATATTTATTTTCCTTGATTCCGTGTTCTAGCTTTAATTTTACTGTTCTCATCTTTTAGTCTTTGCTATCTAAGTGATTGGTTCATTACTGTCATTGTAAATATATATTTTTCCCCAACCCACCATTGTTTCTTTTTTTTTTTTTTTAAGATTTATTTATTTATTTATTTTTACAAGCACTGGGTACAGTCAGAAGCGCAGGAGGGTGAGAGAATTCACCAGAGCCAGAGCGGGGAGCAGAGCAGGCAGAAGGACCGAGGTACACTGCTAAGGGGAGCAGCGGGCGGCAGGAGAGGTCTGCGCGCCATGTGGGACCCTCGCCCAGCAGCTGGGGAGCTACTGGGGATTGAACCTGTGCTGCAGAGGCTGCGGGCAGCTTCGCAACCCAGAGCTCAACCACTGCGCCACCAGGAAGGCCCCCCACCATTGTTTCTTGTCCCTTTCTCCCTCCACACCCTTAACCTTAGAGCTCTCATTTCATTTACTGATATATGCTAGTTTTTGTATTTTACCAGATTATCTGTGCTGTAAAGGTCCAGTATTTGTCATTCTGACTTGCTTACTATACGTAATTCCCTTTAACTCCTTCCATTTTGCTGTGAATGGCAGCAATTTGTCTTTCATGACTCAATAGTATCCCATGGTGTGAATATATAAGTAATCCATTTGTCTTTCAAGCATTGTTGACTTTGTTCTACTGTCACCTACTTGTGAATATGTGGAGGAGGCAAGCTCAGCCTCTTCACTCTACCTCCATCTTTCCAGACTCTGAACAGACTTTTGAATATACATATATGAAAATATATTTCCTTGCTTTTATTTAGTGACTTTTCTGTTTAAAAGAATCCTTTAAGCCTTTTTTTAAAAAGCTGTTTTAATGGGGTGATGCACTCGTATAACTTTTGCTTGTCTAGGAAGCTCTTTCTCTCTCCTTCAAATCAAAGATGGATTTGCCTCTTACCTAACTGCTGTTGGTACACCATTGTAAGAAAGGCTTTCAGCCGAGCAGTGATACATTGGTTTGACTTGGCTGTAATCCTGGACTATGATGTGTTCAGTGAGTGACTAGAATGCCCATTGAAGCAGTTTAGATGGAGCCAACAACAGTATGCAAAGCCCACAGGGTTTTCAGGGGCATAGGATCTAATTAGTAAAGGGTAAATACTCTAACAGCCATCTCTCTGTGCTGCAGGGGATAGCTGGCTGTGGCAGCAAGTGGACTGTCTAGGTTGCTGAAGGCCTGGCCCACTTGCTAGCATGCAGGTGGGGTCTGGCAGGAGCCAGGACTGCTTATTTACTTGTGGTAGAGCCTCTTTATCACTTGACTCTCAGCTACCTTGACTACTTCCTATGGATGGGCAGAATTCTCATCAGGATTTTGACCTCAGGACCTAATAATATGGATGGGAATTCCAAAATACCACCTGACAGTGGTATTAGTAGTAAGTTCATGAGAGGTTGCCAAGATGGTGCTTACTAGTTTCTGACCCAAGGGTAGTGATGTCTATAATTCTTTCACCTATGGGTTGAACACTGTTTACGGTGTTACTGTGCTGCAGCCCATGTGGGAAGAAAGAAAATAAGTTTACCTAGAAGACATGTTCTAAATAGAAGTAAAGATTTAGCATAGAGCCTCCCTGGTGGTGCAAGGGGTTAAGATGCAACCTATGAAGCTATCTGCAGCCACTGCAGTACAAGTTCGTACCCCAGCCTGCAGGGAGCAACCCACATGGCTCAGCAGACCTCTCCTGTCTCGCCTGCTGCTCCCCTCAGCAGTGTACTTCGGTCAATCTGCCTGTTCTGTTTCCCGCTCTGTCTCGGGTGAATCCTCTCACACCAACACCTCTGGCCTGTACCCCAGCTCTTGTATGCATAAATAATGAATCTTAAAAAAAAAGTTAGTATATGCCTAATTGTTAAAGTAACCAAAATGACTACTTAGGAGAGCTGTTTTAATATCTCAGATATAGTTAATTCCAAATGAAAAAGGAATTTTTTAAATAAAGTATATCTTCAGTCTACCACAGTATCAAAATCTGATATATTAATTTTATGCAAAATTTTGTTTTAAATATACATTCTCTGTAAAATGCATCAAATTACATTCCTAAGCATTTGTAACTATTAAAGTATTAACATTTCTTGACCTATTTCCACCTTGCATAGCAAAAAGTTAAAGAGTAATATCAGTAATCACTACTTATGTGATAAAATTGATATGGTATGATTGCAGGTCATTCCTGCTTTTTTCAGTGGTCAAAGCTATTAAAAAAGGTCAACTTATATAAATATGTGATATCCTTTCTGACTTTACAGCAATCATTGCCTGATCTCCCCAACATTAAGACATTTTTTTCCATTAGCCTTAATTTTAGTTCAAATATAAAAATAATGGCTGCTCCATACATTCTATTTGCATTTTTTTTTTTTTTTTTTGTTCTCTCAGAGTTGCATTTGGGAACTGCAATGGTTTAGCTGTGGTGGATTTTATCCAGAAGACAGTACTCTTAAGCATGGGTACCATTGACCTATACAGATCAAGTGACCTTTACCAACGACAACCACGGTCTCCTCGAAAAAACAAGCAGTTCATTGCAGGTAGGAAATAAAACAAGATGGCTATAATCTTGATTAGTTCATTTGTTCATTACTTTTAGACTTCGTCTTTTTTTCTGTGATGCTATTCAAATGCATGGCAATAAAAAAATTAACATTATATAATATGTAAATAAAACTGAACAGAAAGTATGTAAAGTATATTAAATTATCAGGCAGCACCTCACATTTAATAATAAATTATTAAATATAAAAGTCTATGAAAACCTAGCTAAAAAACTGATTGTAATGATTTTGTTAAACAGGATAATTTTCTTCTTAAATATCTGGCCCCTTTAAGAATATGTAATTTTAGATCATCCACTACTTTTAATTTTTTTAAATCCATATTTTAGCTGTCTTCTACATTGGGGCTTAGTGACTTTTTTGGAGATATTTTTATAAATGCAATAAACATAATTAATTAGACATTAAATGCCATGAAAGATGACATTTTTCTTGACAGGACCAATAAATTTTTTTAATTAAAAAGTACAGAAAGGGGCCTCCCCGTGGCACAGTGGTTGAGCGCTGGGTTGCGAAGCTGCCCGCACCCTCTGCAGCGCCGGTTCGATCCCCGGCTGCTCCCCGGCCACCGGAGGGGGGGTCCCACATGGTGCGCAGACCTCTCCTGCCGCCCGCTGCTCCCCTCAGCAGTGTACTTCGGTCCTTCTGCCTGCTCTGCTCCCCGCTCTGGCTCTGGTGGATTCTCTCGCCCTCCCGCGCTTCTGACTGTACCCAGTGCTTATATAAATAAATAAATCTTTAAAAAAAAAAAAGTACAGAAAGACTTTCTAATATGACAATTAAAGTTTTAAATTTGCATATTTTCTGCCCACTAACCTAGTTAAGTTGGTAAAAAAATTAGTTGTTAAACTTGTAGATGGAAATATACATTTTCAAATAAAAGTATATGACTATAGGTGTTTTCTAAATAAAAGGTATGACAAATTTACTTCTGAATGCAATCATAAAGGAAGTTTTCTTTTGGACTAGTGAAAAATTACATGAGATACTAAAATTTTCCCTCTATATTAATCTTTGTTTTGTAAATTTCAATCCTTTCCAAATTGCTAATTTAGACACTTTAAGGGGACATAAAGTTCTCCAATGTATTAGGAATATTGGAAACTTTAAATTGCAGGTTCTGTCTCTATCACTGTTGGTTTCTAAAAGAAAGATAAGATAGATTAAAAACCAGCAAAGTTGATGTTCATGTTCAAAGTTCATGAATGAGACAGTAGGCATCATTTGCAAGCTAAAAGCACCAATTCATTCAGGAAAGCTATTGATTCATGGCAGCATCTCAGTTGTTCACTGGATACACAAAGTGGAATGACCAAACATAATCTTCTGACAAAGGTAATAAAACTTACTTAACTTTGCTGGGCACCAATAATTATGATTAGAACTTAGAATTTTAATAACTTTAAAATCAGGAGAAACCATGTTGAAGTCATAAACTCCCATTTGTATTTAGTGTATAATGACTACAACGTGTACTCACTTTTAAAAATATAATACTGAATACTAAAGGCAGCCATTAATGAGTTAACGAATTTTTAAGCCAAATAAATTTACCATGTAAAAAAGCACATTAAGAGAAATAAGTCACTATTTTATAGGATATTTGATGAAACAAAATTACTACAGCATCTCATCATTCATCTATCACCTCTTTCTAATTTATTTTTTTTTTAATATCTCCCCTCTAATTTGGTTACCTAAACTTGCTGCAATTTCTTCATCTTGGCTGTACTAGATTCTGGTATGATATCACTTCCTTTCACTTTAGACTATTTTTCTCTCTTTCCTCTGCCTGCTGCTGATGCTGGTGTTCTGGCATGTTCCAAAGACAACTTTTGCATGCGTGGCCTGTCTAACTTTTATCCTGATTTAACGAAACGGATCCGTACTTCCTATCAGAGTAAGTTCTATAAGATTAGGCAAATAGCTTTTTAAGTCATAATGCTTGAGTTAAATCCATACATCTGTGCTCAATAATGTGTTTTTAAAAAACACATTCAGCATGCATGCAAGTTTTTCTTTTGTTATGGAAGTGCAACCTGATAATTTTGACCAAAACTATACAAATATTTCAAATAGTTACTGTTGTATACCCATGTACTCATATCCATTGTTCCACTGTTTATTTCAAACCATGTCCTATTATTCCAGAAGTCACTGTCCTTTGTTTTGAAGTGGAAGAACCACAGTGTCTTTGTAAATAATAAACCTGATGTGCCAGTTTCAATAATTCGAATGTTTTCTTATTTTGAAGCCTTGTGGCTTTAACCAATTTATAAAATTATTCTAACTAGGATTACAATATTTGCTTCTTCTAAGTATTTAGATTTCTTAAGTATTCCTAATTTCTGGAATACACAAAAGCACATTTTTAATGTGATTTTAGGTACTAAAGTTGGGGAATTGAGGTTACAAATAAGAGTCAATAGCTTTTACCAAAATTAAATCTGGAAATGACTGGAGTAAGCAATTCTAAACACTGGTACAGAAGGTTTGGGGAATGAGGGCATTATTGGAGGTGCAGATAATACTAGTAATATTCTAGGGGACTATGTTTACAATAGGTTACTCAATGTTATGTTTAAAAATCAAGTTAATACATATAATATGGCCTTATTTATATAAAATATACATGTATAACGCACACACACATTGTATCCTAAATTTCTTCAGACTTCACCTCACCAGAATGGAATCACATTAAAACTCTACTGATGTGCTAATTGGCGTGTTCCCCTAGCTAAAGGAAGTCAGTCCCTATGAAATCCTTAACATTTTTCGGGGTGTGTCCATAGGATTACTTATTTTTGCCTATAAGTATCCTCTAGTTTTCTACTCCAGTAGAGCATATACTTTTTGGGTATGTCCTGCTGCCTTGGGATATATATTTTTGACAGCCATAAACTAGTCTTTCACACTCCTCCTTTATGATATAAAGGGTTTCAGCCAAACCCTTTCCTGTAACTAGTCTCCAGGTACTTTAACACACACTGAGACTTCTGAATCCCACTTTAGCCTTCCTAAGCTGGAATGTTCCCACTCTCACACTGTGTGAGAATGTGTCCTTTCTGTACAGACAGAAAAATTTCTGGATCATGAAATTACTTCTTTTAGTTTTAATGCACTTTATATTTCTGTAATAGGTAATGCATTTATAGTAGGAAGAAAAATTGCACACTGAGATTAAGAAGCAGGTTTATAATTAAGATTTTATAGGAATATCAACCATGATGTAAAGGTTAAAGTTATGAGATATGCTCATTTATCTCTAACCCTTCAATAATCTTATATTGCCTTCAGAATAAGAAAACAAAGGTTGTAAACCTTTAGTCAGGAAACTCTAAAATATAATTTATACCTTCAAATACATTTTCTACTTCTAATAAAAACACCTTACAAGTATCATGTTACCTTTATAATTGACTCATATCATCCACCTCTGAAAATGCCCTGCTCAAATTTCACTTCCTATTGTAAACCTTTCCTACTGCCATCATAATTTAATTATGCCAATCTTTTATTTAAATGCTTACAGTGTACATAGTAGTTGTATACAGTAATGTCTGAACCATTTTGTGAACACTCAACCTGTGTTTTTGTGTTTATTTTTATGCATATGCTCTGACTTTCAGAATGCATGACAAGAATCTGAAGATCATATATAAAATTCTTAATATAATACACCCACCACAAGTATGAGCTCAGCAAGTAAATGATGATGAGAGAGTATGACAGCAAACTTTGTTCACAAAAAGAGACTTTTTAAACTGGACTAATGAGAGTAGAAATAGCTTCTGTAGTTACTGAGTTCACTTGAATTTTGCATCAAGAAAAAATTAAAAGCAGTTCCTTAGAAGGACATACAGAGATCCTGCATGTCTTCACCATTTGGTTCCATGGAAGTTTAGACAAGCCCTGGAATTTGAAATCAAATTTCATAAGGTCTTCTCTTGATGATCAACATATTTTGATAAGGAACTGATTTTCTAATGAAGATGCATGCTAGAATTTGCTTTTAAAATTATTTTTTTAAATATTAGATATATAACCTAGTTATATTTCTACAGTTTCATTTTATTATAGTGGAGACTGTATTGCCTTTTCATGAATTATTTTCTAGCTTTCAGAAAAGCATATCTACATTGTCCCTATTTGGGAAAATTTAATCCATTTCCATTGAATGTATTCTATTCTGGGATTATACTCTACAGTTTTTCAGTATTATATTACTAGTGGACATTATAACCCTTTGAGGCATATAGACACTTATTAGTAGAACCCTCTCAGATGAAAAAAAAATTGAAGTTAAGAGATTAGTCTCTAAAAGTACACAGAATAAGTGGGAAATAAATTTATAACTATATTATGCAAAAGTGACTTCATATGCCTTCCACCATGTGATTCTAAGTAACTCAAAATTGCAGGTGCATTAGACACCATTTATATTTTCTTTCAGTTTTTAATGAAACAATTTAAAATTGTTTTTCACAATTCAGAGATAGAATAAGGACTTCTCTGAAGTCCATTTTGTATTTTATTATATTATGCTACATCAATTTTGCTCTTGAAGTGATATCACATTCTCCTTTGAGCTATACTATTCATCTCTGGAGAAATATCTCAATTCCTGTATTCTACAGAGCTCTTTCACTGTCACCTTATAAGAACGTTAGGCTCCAAGAAGTTGCCTTAAATTACCATCTACAAATTTTTCATATAAAAATTGATAGCTCAAAGGAAACCTCTGTATTTTACAGATTATGACTTATGGAAGTGGTAAAAAATGCTTTGGAAAGAGTAGCAGTCATGGGGTTAAAGATTTATATCAAGTTCTTCCTTTTCTACTTATTAACTATTACATTTGTAATCTTGAGTAAATCTATGTGCTGCTGCTTTTTCTCAAATATAAAATAAAAATATCCCTTCAATTTATCTTACTGGAACAATGTTTATAAAAGTGCTTCTATAGATATTACCCAATTGTAGAAGATAAAACCAAACCACCCAGAGATTAAATAACTTTGCCAGAATCACAACCAATCTACAGAAGTTGACTTGTCTTTGCATAGTGATATTTCTACTTCGGATGATGACAGAAATGTTGTTAAATACTGTTGATTGTAAGCCATTTGACTAAAGGAAGTTCAAAAACAAGAGTTAAGGTAGAGCGCTGTCAGAAAAAGTGCGTGTGCATCAAATACTAGTTATGCAATGGGAGATGGTTTGGCAAGTCTCAGCCTTTCTCTTTCAACTACATGGTATTTTCAGAGTGTGGGAGTTAACAGATCCTAGAAAATGGAGGAGAGAGGAAGAATAAGAACCGGCAAACAAATATTTTTTTTTTAAAATGGAGTGCTTCAAGAATGAAAGTGTAAAACAAAGGTAGCAAAAGCCAGAAAAAATTATCTTAAATGGGAAAAAAATTGTTCATTGAAAGAATATCCTGTGTCAAACATTTTAGGTGCTAGGTAGATAATGATGAAATACAATAAAAACAAATCCATACATGTGCTATGCTAGAAAAATGACATGAGGTCAAAAAGGTGGGTCTATTTATGAGAGTTGTCAGGGAGGAACCTATCTGTGGAGGAAACATTTATGTTTTGCAAAATAGGAAGAAAGCAAGCATGCAGCCTCTGGAAATACCTGATGACCTAGCAATATCTCTCCAAACTGTCTAGCTAGAGAATATGAAAATATTAACTTGAAAAGATATCCACACCCTTATGTTCACAACATTATTCACAATACCTAAGACTTGGGGGGAAAAAACCCTAAATGCCACCAGCAGATGACTACACAAAAAGATAAGGTATATATATGATGGAATATGACTCAGCCATTAAAAAAAATATGAAATTTTTCCTTTTGTGACAATATGGATGGAAGTTGAGATTATGTTAAGCAAAATAACTCAGAAAGTGAAAGACAATTACCAAGTGACTTCTCTCATATATGGAATTTAAATAACCAAAGCAAAAAAAAAAAAAAATTAGAAAATAAAAAATAACTCAGACTCTGAGAAATGCAGTAATTACCAGAGGAGGAAGGACAATAGGGGTAGAAGGCATCACTCTGCTTGTAGGAATAGCACTAGAACTTCGTTGGTAGATGAAATGAGGCTTATACACACATATAGTATAGAAAATCAATAAAAGTTTATTTTAAAATATAAATTGGTATATAACCACTTGGGAAAGTCATTTTACAGTATTCCACTAAATCTGAACATATGAATACTGTAAATGTATATAAAGGCCTAGCACTTCAGTAACATTCCAATAAAATAATGCCTAAGATTAAAAAGGAATCAGACAAAATTTTGTGCCTAAACTGACCATGATATAATAACAGAAACCAGACAAAATAAATGAAACTACGGTTTTTAAGACACAGGACAGTAGACAATGGAAAACAGCAACCTTGAAGAAATAAAAATTAAGCTTAGAACTATACTCATTTTCTGACCTAACAGAATTTCTAGACTATAACAAAGGTAAAATCTAGCAGGGAACCAGTAAACTTCCTAATAAGAGGGAAGTGAGATACCAGAGAAGCAGCTCAGCTACAGTTCACAAAGGGAAGATACCAGAGATTTACAGTTTCCTTCTCCAATAAAGTACTAATTAGATATACATACAATGAAACCAACCAGAGATAGGTAAAGAGCTATCTGAAATGATTAGAGGAAATAATGTCCAATTCCCCCCCACACACACAGCAAGATTGGAAAAAAGTTTAATTCACATCCACAACTAATTAAAATAGTACTGGAAGTGCTAACCTGTATAGTTAGGCAAAAGAAAAGTCATTTTTATTGGAGAAAAAAGATTTTTTTTCATAGATAATATGATCATCTATGAAGGAAAAATCTAATGAAATCCATTTTTAACAGGCTCT